ATTTCCTACAAATTTTCTTTGAAAAACTGACTTTTTTCTTTATGCTCTTCTAGTCATAATTATTAGTGATTTCTAATACTATATGTGAAATTTCAGTGATTTCTTTTAATTAAATTTATAATATACTGATATTCGAAGCAGAGCCCTGTTTTACAGTTTTTAACATTTTGTGAATAAAATGTGGATCGAACATATTTTATGAGATAGCAATGGAATGCTTTGGTATTTTTATTTGTGATAAAGCTCAAAAGGTCATATTCTTTGACATATTTAATCATTTTGCATCATGCAGAAAACCATTTCTGTTTCGTTCAAAGTCGTATTTTTCCTTTTATTAATAAATTATGTTAAGGGATGTCGGTGTATTTTCCATAGATTATATTTTCTCGGCTGCTTCCAATTTTCTTGAGTAGCCACTAGTTTTTTGTAGATCGTATGATAGTTTAAAAATTACTAAACTTGATCTTCGGCATGTCTGGTAATAACAGAAAATGTGATACGTTGCGAACGGAGTGACGCCCGGAGAAAAGACAGGATAGAAAAAGAAGTAATTCCAGGTTTCAATTGCAAACACTTTACTTTTATCAGAAACAAACTTTATATTTGCAATTAGCATGCAAAAATACAATAAAAAATGTTTTTTTTTCATCTAGAAATATTTCTTATGAAAATTTCGCTATTCTTCTACTCAGCCATTTACCTTGCAAAATTTTACCTTGTACTGTTCTACGAATCAAATCTTGATCGGAGATATTATACGATAAAAAAAAATATTTTCTGGCATATCTTTGCGTGCTGATTAACAATATAAATTTTATTTCTGATGCAAGAAGTCAGCTTTTTACAATCGAAATCCGGAAACACTTCTCTCTTTATGCTTTGTTTTCTGATGGAAACTGTTCTTCTCTTAACAAGTCATCTTTTTTGTTAACATTGAAACTATCGAAGATCCGGCACAGTAATTCTATAGTTTCATATGATCTATCAAAAAGAAATTAGCTACACAAAAAAAATTTTTCAACCAGTCGAGAGAGTATAATCTATGAAAAATACACCCACGTCATCAAAGATATCTTATGTGTAATAGCAAAAACACGGCTTTGAATAAAACTTAATTAGTTTTTTTTTCGCACGACACAAAATTATTCAATATTTTTGACAACATGACCCTTTTCAGCTTCATCACTGGCGAAATTATCAAGATATTCCATTGTTATATCATGCAGCACGCTTGGCTTACAATTTATTAATTAAATGCCAAAAGGGTAATTAAGAGCTCTTTCTAGGTTATCAATATATTTTATATTTAATTAAAAAAAAAGGAAGGATGACAGTTTGTAGGAAAATGGAGCTAATTAAATTTTAATGGTCTTGTGTAGAAATATAAAAGATAATGGTAGACTCTATAAGTTATATTTTTTTAAAGTATTTTTATTAGATATTTACTGTCTCAGGACCTGATTGCATTTTGAATAATCTAAGTATTCTACGGGAGAATCCTTAATTACCGCATCTTACATGTATTCCTTGAAGTATGTATTTACTACTTAATGCAGATTAAACACATTATATGTTGATAGATAGGGCGTAAAAAACACTTAAAAAATCTATAGAATATTTATTAATCGTAAATGTACAAAAAAACATGTTTTTATTGAAATACTTGTTGAATACCATTGAAGCGTGGCACCATCATTTAGTATAAACTATTCTATGCACTGAATTAGAGTTTACTTACTCTGTGATTTATATCAGTCGATAGAGCTTTTCGCTAACTATGAATCCCTGTATAATTTATCAAGAAAAGAAAGCTGTAAACATTTTTTAAGTCAAGAAAGTTTGGCTCAGATAAACAAAAAGCGGTATTTTTCGGTTGGTATTCAGCGGTTTCTATTCGAATAGCCATCTTTTCAATCAAAACAGATAGCATATTCGGAATCAGTTTTAAAGGTTTTTATTTTTCAACCAATGTTTTGAGGTAGTTCTGAGAAGTGGTCCAGCCCAACAATTTTGGCTCAAAATATTAGTCATCAAAAAAGTTTGAAACATATATAGATCGACAACATATGTAACTGGTTTCAAATATGCTATTTGTTTTGATTGAAATGATGATTATTACGACAGAAATTGCTGAATACTAGCCGAAAAAAAATCAGTTTTTCTTGTTTATCTGAACGAAACTTTTTTGTAAAAACTATAAGCTATAATTTCTATCATCATTTCCTTTATTGCTACACGAACAAATCATTACAATTTAATTGAGTTCATTCTCTTACATACCGTCATTCTTCGTTTTTGAAATTTTCGTATGTAGTAGTAGAAATCACTAATAATAATGATGAAAAAAGCCTAAATACAAAAGTAATTATTTCGAAAAGAATTTGCAAAAAATAATTAAAAACTGCATTAATAGTATTTCTAATAATGGTCTTGGAAGAAGTAAGATATTACTTCATAGTCGATCGAGTACTCTTTTAAGAAGAGGCAAAAAAAAATTCTCAATATATTTTGAAAATAAGATTAGTAGCAAACTTGTTCGTTTATTTCAAATACTTTTTTTAATATCATCAATTTCCTAATCTGAACATTGATATAGAATGGCCGTTTCGAATCATAACAAAGATCTATATAGAGTAGTCGTAAAAAATCCTGCTACCAGTTAAAAAGTACCTAAGATTTAATCCTTTAGTCTCATAGTTTGAACACCAATAGGCCACGGTGGACTCTGATCGCAAGGACTAATTAAGACTTGATAGATCTTCATGGAGAGAAGCTACAAGTTCAACATCATTTTTTTCTTCCAACAAGGATATCTCAGCATAGAAAACAATGCTCATGACGTCAGACACTTCATTCAACAATTCAACACTACCTCAATCACCAACAGAAACTTCATGTCAAACGATTTTAGTTTGCGTGATTTATGAGTAATATTTGAGTAATCGTCACATGCGAGTTGATGAGAATCGTCGAAAAGTGGCGCATATCTCCAACTAAATTCAACCATTTGCTTTGAAATTTTCTCCATTAAGTTTTCTGCTCTAATAAAGTTTTCTTTGAAAATTTCATGATCACAACCATCAACGGGGAAGAAATTCGTATTGAGACTTTACCGTGCGTCGAGATTACAGTAAATCGAAGTATCCTATTTGTGACACAATATAAACATACCAATCTTTATTTTTTTACTAAGATAATAGTAGTTAACGCATTTAAATAGTAAAAAACCAGAAATGTGTCAGAAAGGATTTTTGGAGTCCTAGGAAAAAAACAGTGTTTTTATCATAAATGTTTTGCATTAAGACCTATCAACTCCGAGTTGCTGCTTGTAATTGTGTTTTATTGAGTTCTATTCGTAGTCAAAATAGCAGGCAACCAAATCAAAGTCTGTATACTTTGAGACTTAGTAGCGGAACTTCTTGAGAGAAATGTACTTTTATATATTTGTTCTTTTAATTAGAATCGAGGATTAAAATGTTTATCACTCAACCTTATTAGAAAGAGCTTTTGCAAAAAGATTTAAAAAAATCATTAGAAATGATTAAGATAAGAATATACGTCTTAATTTTATATATTTTTTTAATATGTCGGAAAAAAACGCAAAACTAATTTTCTCTTTCTTAAAGAATTTATAATCATTTCCCAGTGAATTAGTTATTCAACAGTATTCAGAAATAAAATAATGCTAAGTGACGTCTGTCAAAGCTTGAAAATTTCTGATATAAAACTCATTTTCTTACAATACACTAGCAAAACATACAAGTAGAAATATTGAAAGACCATAATAGAAAATAGTTGACAACAGACATATCATCGGAATTAAGTAAGCATATGACTAATTTAGAGAATGGAAATTTTATTGATCTACCTAGTGCCGAATAATTCTATCGAAGTTAAAAGAACAAAAAAAAACAGCAGAGATTATCTATTGAACGAACAAATCTTGTTAACACATTTGAAGCGATGTAACCTACTGATAAGTCACGGCAAAAAATCGGAGTATTTCCTCTATATGTAAATCAACTGGATTAGTCTTATTATTGAATATTCAAAGTTCTTATTTATAAGAATAAAGCCAAAAAAAATTGCTACGTTAAGTTATTATCATTGGCTTTAGGAAATAAAAGTAAACTTATACGAGTTTCAAAAAATGCAAAGCATACATTTATTATAAAAATTACTGTGGATAAGCAAAAACCTTATAAATTTAGCAGAGATATTTTCATTGTAATTTGTTTTCGAAAAAAACCAAATCTCGTACAATTCAAACTTGCCATGCATTTGCATTATTTGTTTTTCTCGAAACTTGTACAAACTCATGTCGTTTTCTAAGTTAATTATAATACTGAAAACACAGCATTTATTGATGACTCCCTTATGAATGCAAATTTTAAGCATCCATTGGTCATGGAGAAAAAAAAACGTAGACCGTTTCATTAACGTCAAGTGCAAATATTCAAATTTTTCGCCGCAATTCACCGCTAGGTTACATTGGCTTGAATGCATTAAAATATCCAACCAGACCAATAACGCTTTTGACAGATGTCAAATCAAAGAGAAAATAAAAAGTGTTAGATTTGATCGCTAAAAAGATTATAATATGAAACTCTTTGAAAATTATCTAGCAAAGGATGAATTATCAAATATTTGTTTTTCTTTTTACAGTATCGTCAAATGAACAAAATTTATCCAAAATTTTTTTTAGCATCATCTTCAGTTATACCTCTTTTTTTCTGAAATCTTCTAATATTTAGTCTCTTTAATTTTTAAAACAAAGGGTCTTTCTAAAAAAAGAAATAAAAGAATTGTTGTAGTCAAAAATTTGTTTGAAAAAGCGACCTGTCTGTCAAAATCTATTTATTCTTTGAAGCATCACATCATATCTTTTTCCTCTAGTGTATTAATATAAATTTTACCCTTTTTGTTAATACTCAAAATTATCATTTTAGATAAAAGTTTATCAAAAAAACAACCGTATCAATAATCAATCTATTAGACAAATGACATCGTCAGCAATAGCAGACGCAATTTTAGATGCTGCTAAAAAATATACTCTTTCAGTTTATTTTGTTATCTTATTTTGTGGTCTCATAGGTAATCTATGCAATATTACTCTCTTTAGTTCTTTAAAAGTTCTTCAACGAAATCAATGTGCTTTCTATCTTATGGTTGCATCCATTGTTGATTTTGTTTTATTATTGCTTGTATTACCACTTCGTGTTACTGATTATGTTTTTGGTTATGATCCAACAAAATTATCAATCGTATGGTGTAAAATAAGACAAGCAGTTGTTGCACAATTTTCATTAATGTCATTTGCATCGATATGTTTTGCTGCTATTGATCAATATTTATCCACTCATTATAATCCACAGCTAAGACAATTTAGCACTTTTAAATTAGCTCGTCGTCTTGTCATTAGTGCCATTATCATTTTGATTTTACATAGTATTCCATTTTTTATCTTTTTTGAAATTCAATCAACAGCTGGTTGTAGTATATACAATTTGGGGTTTTCACGTTATTATTCATTTGTACATTTTTGTGTACTTAGTGGGATTTTACCTATTATGTTTTCAGGCTTATCTGCAGCACTTGCTTATTTAAATGTTCGTCGTATTGTAAGACATCAAATACCAATAGTTCGACGGAGATTAGATCGTCAACTAACTGCTATGATTTTAACAAAAGTGGCATTTTTAGTTGTTACAACTTCACCTTTTGTTATTTTTCGTATTTATCAAATTAATAGGGCTGCTATTGCTTCAACTAATTATATTCAAATAGCAGTTGAACAATTAATATTAACTGTTACTTCATCTTTATTTTATATCAATTCTGCAGTAAATGATATTATTCTTTTTGATATTTTTTTTTAAACTTTTTTGTTTCATTCCAGGGCACTTTCTATGTATTTTTATTGGTTTCGAAACGATTTCGTCAGCAAATCAAACGTGTACTTGTAAGAAATATCTGGAAAAGGTTACTTGGCTTCGTAAGGAAAAGTAGTATATCACAGAATCAAGTGGCGCCTACATCTGACGGTACAGATGCTGATCTTGAGTAGCAAAAACATTGATATCAGGTATCGAAATGGGCCGCCCAGCTCGATGACTCGGTCCCAACTTTATTATTTTTTTCAAGAAAACTTTCCCACATAAGAAAATAGAGAAAAAAATAGGATTTTTCAACTTTCAAGATAAACTTCAATCAATCAAAAAAGACTTAAGTCAATTGAAATCTATCTTTAAAGATTAAACTTTAATAGCATGATTTGAATCGATTTTATTCTGATTGGTCGTCAAAACTTTCTACATAGTTTTCGCACTTCACAATCGATATTCATTAGGATTTTGTATACGAACATTTCGGAAGCTTCTTTTAATCAATAATTGAAAGCACAACATTTATCCGGTTCGATGATATTCCTAATATATAAACACACACACGCAAGACCGGCTGTACTATAAGCTACAGAAAGTGGCATGAGTGTTACTGAAGCGATGCAGTGTAACTAAAAGTAGTAATCAATCTGATTCTTTGAGATTGATCCGTGGTTCATTTTACTTGTGAGAGCTTTCTCATAATAAATAGTAGTCTTCAAGGAGCTGTAATATCGACGAACGCATCTTGTTCCTTTGATTCAATCAGTAGTTGAATTTTTCTCTCGTACTATTGCTACAAGCATTGAAATTATCCAACCTTATTCATCTTGTAATTACTATGGAAATAAACATTTTACAATGTTCTAATAAATGATTGTATCAACTGTGGAGTCTCATTCTGTCGAAATCCTTTGCATAAAAGAAATATACTTTTAATAATGTCATTTTGAGTTAGTACGGGTCGAACAAGGTCATCAAAAAGTGGTTCGATTTCGAGACCTGATAGATATAGTTTGCCTCAAAACAGTTAAATGTAATTAGTATTGTATTTATCAAGATTATTTATCGTTTATGTCTTTTTTATTATGTACATTATATTGCTGCTTTTCTGACTTTGTTTATACATTATTGTTTTTTTGTTGTCTTCAACTTTAATTATCTAATTTTGAGAGAATAAAATATCGTATAAATACTTACAAAAGAAAAATTAATCATTTCAGAAATAATTAATTGTCAAACAATTGTTTTCAATATTGAATAATTGTGCATTCATTTTGATTAAATCTTTTCTTTCAATAGCTCATATGTGCAGCATAAAAAAGGAACAATAATACAAATTTATGATTTTTCAATAAATGAAATAGATTATTATTACAATTATCTAATAAAAACAGTACTAATCAACTCGAATATTGTGAATAAAATTGTCAAGTTAAGTGATATATGGATATCAGTGACATACATATAATTCTGAGAAAAAGGAGAAAATTCAATTGATATCGATCACTTCTAATGCCAATCAACGTTCATGGACATGTTTGTTCAAATAGTTGTTTTACTTCATTAATTAGACAAGATTCTTCACAAGTCGATGTTCTTGTCCTTATTCTTTTTTATCTGAATTTATTAGAAATGATTCTTTTTCGATGTGAAGTTCAGTCGAGAGTCTTTCTATCGATTAAATAAAACAATGAAAAAAACCTTCTCCATAGTTGAATGGTACAGATAGGCATCTTTTGTTTCTTTTATGTCTATAAAAATCGTTTGTACGAACTTCTTCGCTCATATCTTCAATGAATATTTAAGGTCAAGATGCTATACAAATAAACGATTTTGTTTTTTCTTTAGTTTTTTATGATCTAATTGATAAAAATTTTATCGAAATGACTATGAACTTCTGCTTCTTGTTTTCTTATTACCTTTATCGATACTTTAACTGTTTTCTGTAGTCTTATCACTTTGGTTGATTTTTGTAATGTTCGTAATTTGAATAAACACAAAATTATAATAGATTAATACTAATTACAAGAATGAAATGCAAGAATCTTGCTGGGTTATGCAAGATATTGTCCTATTCTGTGATGAAAAAAATCAAACTGGATTTTCCATATTAGAAATGTCTTGTCTCATCAGCCAAGATTCTGTCCACCGTATTCTTGTCTGATTCATAAAACCTTGTAAATCAGAGAAGAATCTTGTCAGACTTCTCAGAAAAAAATCTGACAAGTTAAGAGATAAAAATATAGAATTGTGTTGCGACACAAAAGAAAAAAGATTCTTGTTTGATCTTCAAGACAAACGTCGCGTGATACATTTGTTTACAGGCATCAATATCTATACACTATTTATTTATTTTTACACAATAGCAGTTAATGGTAATTTTATTCAATTAAACAAACAAAAAGATATTCGTTTCAAACAATACATGAATTAAATTCAAATTGTAGTTGCTTTTAAAGTTTGAAAAACAACTTTATCAAAATAATGACTGACGAACCAGAAAAATTGAATTTCGACTTTCGACTTCATATTTTCTGTAGAGACAGATCTTCATGAGAACAATTTATTGCAACAGTATCAGGTCTTTTGATTGCTTCCATCCTAAGATGCAACTATGGTAAAAACATAATTTTCACGTCGTTCATATACAACGACAAATTCCGACGCTCTTATTTCAGAATGAGTGCAATTGAAAATTTTCAAACTTTCACAATAAACTATTCTCGTTAAGATCTATCTCTATGCAACGTTTCAAGTCGAAATTCAAAACTTAGTTTTCCTGGTGTTCTTGAGGGATACCATGACATTCTGCTAAAAATTACGACAAAAGAGTATACTCTTTCAGCAGCAATAAGCTATTAGCCTGAACTCTTTTCAGGGTATTTATAGATCATTAGAATCTACATGATGCACGTAGTCTCTACTCAAAAAGCGATTTGATGCTCAGATGATGGCATGAATTTCTCAGTTGACTTCTTACAATTGCCAAAAGTCATGTCATGCATGAAAATTTCATCCTTAACAAAAGTGAAGTTCTAGAACGTTCATTTCTGCTAAGGATGAAATGTCGATGCACCACATGACTTTTAACAGCTGCCGGAAGTTTTGTAATAGGCTTTTTACATTATATTTTAATTAAATTGACTGTCACTTCAACCGCGGGATTTTATTCATTAATTAGTAGACATTTGGTAATATATAATTTGCCGTTGCCAAAAGCCCAAAGAAAAGAATTTTTCGACTTTTTAACTTAGAATGATTGGAATTCGCACTCAAATCCGTTAGTTTGCTCACTACTATGCTTTTCCAACAAAAGACTAATCATTCATTATCGAGAATACAATTTTGTGAACATGATTGCTCAATAGTTGTATGGTTTAATTCAGACTTTTCGTCGTTGACTAAAATTGTGTTTTTATTAGTCTTTCAATCTTGGTAAAGCTGAACTTTCAATAAATGTCAATAGGCCAGTGTTGTTAGTGCCGAAAGTCAGCAATGTGAAATTTGCGTTTCTCTATTTAGAAACGTTATCTCATTAGCGACAAATCAATTATTAGCGATTCTAGTTGATAACTATGGAGAAGACGAATTATAATAAATAGAAATGTGTCTTTAATCTAAATAAAATATTTTATCAATTAATATTTTCTCTAATAAACACGCCAGATAAAAGTAAAGAAGAATCAGATCAGAATTCAAAAACAGAAGAATCTTCTCTGAGTCTACGTGAGTCTTGTCAGCAAGTCAAGTTTTTTTTTGTGTTTTTTTTTAGGAAAGAATATCGCTTGATGGGTATATAAAAGAATTGAGGTATAATTTGTCTTGTCTAAAACAAAATACGTCAATCAAAATTTCATCTTTAATGTATATTTTAAAAAAATCAACGCACATGTTGTCAGATTTGTCAAGTGAATAAATACCGAGTTATAATAAAATGCGAAGAACTCAGACGTTATTATTTAGTTGTACTTTATTTTGATGGCAGCTAATGAAAAAAAATTTTTTTTTCTTGTATTTCTAAGTATTCTTTTTCATCTTCAATGCTCACCCGTTTATTTTTGGCTTTGATTCTTCATGGAATTATAATTCCATTTAATCTAAGTTAGATTTTGTCAGAAAAATAGAATTCTTTTTCTCGTTGGTATCAGAGATGTAGATTAAGTTCTCCCGTTAAGCTCTAAGTCGCCTTGCATGACATGTTTTTATTCTTGAATATTTTTCTTATTTACATCAGTATATTTAGTGAATTTTGAGACAACCTTTTGTTTTAATAGAATACAGTAACATCAAGTCGTTTTAGCTCTTGCTATCTTATATCATGAGCAAAGCGACACATGAAAGCAATTTTATTCGATCTTAATTCTTATGTTACTTGTTAAGATTTGTCTGCCGTAAGAAGTTAGAATATATGATAATTATTACTTTCAAAACATGAAAACAGATCTTTGCGAATGAATATATAAACAAAGTTAAACAGTCAAATTTTTGAATTTAATTTTAATTATTTGAAATGAATAACTATATTGACATGCACTGAATCAGAAGATCGAACAGAATAATGCAAATTTTGTCGCATTCATAATATCAGTTATAGATAGAGTTATTGTATACAGTTCAAGATGATTATAAACAGCGAATATATTTATATTAATGCTATTACAGTTTATTCCGAGTGAAAATCATTTGAAGTGTCTTATGACATAGCAACTAGTCGAAAGTGATTGATGAAAAATATTAAAATGTTGTGCAATTAATGTATAGTTGAGACAATGAAGAATAACAGAGTTTTTTTAGATTTTCGCATGAAAAATAAAATTTTCAAAGCGATTACGTTAACGAGTGTCTTGATTGATATTTTACACATTAATTATCAAGATGATTATACGTTTCTCTATTATAACCGGACACACATTCATACTGTTACTCACGTTTAAATTAACATGAATCTAATGGAAAAAATAATTTAAATGCTCCCGTAGCCCAGAGAAACCTATTGCATCAAATAAAACTCTTGTCATATAATTGACTAGATCAAAATTCAGAAATTCCGAAAGACAATAGAAAAAAAATCATTAAAAATAGCAAAAACCTTATTCAGAAATGTCAAATTAATTAGACATATCTTAAGCATTAGACAAAGTTTTTTTTGTTAAATAATTTTCCGACAAGAATAACAATAATCCCTGAGTTGTTTTTCTTTTTCATGCTAGACTTTTTCATTTTTTTCTTCTTAGAGATAAAATCTGTTGACATTAACACCACTCATAAAAAATGTCATCATCATCCATAGCAGCAACAATTTTATTCGCCTCTAAGGAGTTTGCAGTATATGGTTATTTTTTTATTGCAATTACCGGTTGCATTGGAAATGTTTGTAACATTGTAGTTCTTACTTGCTCTAAATCATTTCAACGTAATCAATGTGCTTTTTATCTCATCACGGAATCAATCAGCGATTGCTGTTTATTACTTGTTGTATTACCATTTCGCATTAGCGAATTAGCCTTTGGTATTGACACAACACGATTATCATTGTTCTGGTGTAAATTTAGACCAATGATTAGTCATACACTGGCACTCATGTCATTGTCATCGATATGTTTTGCTGCTATTGATCAATATTTGTCAACTAATTATCATGCTTGGTTGAGACAGCTGAGTACGTTAAAATTGGCTCATCGTCTTGTATATGGTGTTTTAATTATTTGGATTCTCTATGATAGTATATTTCTTATTTTCTTCGGGATTCAACTAACATCCGGATGTAACATAGATAATGTACGATTCTCGCTTTATTATTCATTTTTTCATTATATTGTTCTCAATGGTGTATTACCCAGTTTTATAGCATCATTATTTAGTTTACTCGCCTATTTGAACGTTCGTCGACTTGTACAATTACGTATGCACGTAATGCGACGACAACGAGACAAACAACTTACGGCTTTGGTCTTAGCTAAAGTGATTGTTTTAGTCTTAACCGTTCTTCCTTCTGCTATTTTTCGCATTTATATATTAAATAAGATTGTAAACCCAAGTGATTCTATTCGAATAGCTATCGATCAATTAATATCAAATATTGCATATTCATTATTCTATATCAATTCTTCAGTATGTAACATTTCCTAATCTTCGTTTTTAATTGTTGATATTTTAGTGCACTTTCTATGTATTCTTGATGGTATCACCACGATTTTGTCGCCAGGTGAAATATATATATGTTCTTGTGAAACACTTCGGACGAAAATGTTTTAAATCATCAAATAACAATCAAATTGTCCCAGAATCTGTTGAAAGTCATGAGTTAGAATAAAGTAAATCGGTTTTTTTTTCTATGAAATAAAATAATTTTCCTTTATAAAGACTGGACATTATTATCAATTTATTTAGAGTAATAAATTTTGTTCTATTTTTCATTTGAATTGTATGACACTTTCAATAATAATTTTTTTAAATTATACTTCACTTAACGAATATATAAATGAACAAATCATATATTAAACTTTGATATCGATTGTGACATTATTACAAACAATTTATATTTCGAAATAAGTTAGGTAACGTTTTCAATTATATTAATAAAAAAATTGGCAATATGATTCTTGCTTTAATACAAATGTTTACAAACCTTTATTAGAAATAAGTTTACAAATCTACGGCATTACTTTTTTTTCCTTTAAAGTCAAGACAAGTCTTCATTGGTTATTGAATGTTAATATTCTTAGCTTTAGTCTATATAAGATGCTTTTTGCATAAAGAAAGTCAAAAGACACTTGTAATAATGAAAGATCCGCCAGATAGTCAAGAAATCACTTTGCTTGGTCAGCACAGATCTGAACAGCTTCACCTTAAGTCATAAAATAAATAACACAAAAGATAGTTTGTTAATATGTGTTTTTTCTTAAACTCATGTTATAAATCCTACTGGTTTTTATTTTATGAGTTCAAACTAAATTAAATACATTTGAATAAGTTAAAAAAAACAGCCTAATAGCAGAATACAATGAAAAAAGATGGTTTATTCAATACTACTTAATTAATGATCAATATAAAACTCAATAGTAACAGTAAAATAAAATGATCTAGTAAGTTTTGATGAATAGGATAAATAAATCGTTACTCAAATGAAAATCTTAAAGGATTAGTATTGATTGACAACCCATCCATTTGATGTTTTATTAATTTTTGAGTTAATTATTAATCTCTTTGCTAATTTCATCACTATCTTTCATGTTATTATTTTCACAAAACTAATCATTTTTCTGATTATCTTGAATTTGGTTGAAAGTAAACATGGCGAAACTGAAGCGACACTTCCATGCATTGTTTCGTTCTGAAAAGCAATCAACCAACAAACATAATTCAAATCAAACATTTATTATTAAAAAAGAATGAAAGACAAACTAAGAATTTTTCGAAATAATAGTGTCTCCACCTCTAAACAATGCTCTATTTGCTTGATTATAACTTCTTTTTTTGTCACAATTCAAGACAAGCTGTTAAGGAGATCAGATGCTGTAATGAGATAATTGTTATGTCCATCATACAACGTGTTTATTCAACTTTGTAATGCTGTTGTTTTTTGTTTTTGGGTTTCGACCCACCAGAAGACCATTCAAGTTTAATGCGTTTTACACATTTTTCTTTTCTTTTCACAAAAGGATGCGGTGGCTGTGGGTTTGGATATGAATGGATGTAAGTGTGAGTAAGGACAAAGAGAAATGTAGCACCCATATCCCACCTTCACCCTACATTCACCCCCATCCCTAAATCGTCGTTTATGATAGGTGTTGACTCAGTGGTGGTTACCACTTTTATTTTGTTTCTCGAATCATGAACAATTGAAGATTCTTATACTTATTCTACTTTATCCATTTCATTGTACTGAATGGCCAATAGTCTGATAGACGAATAATAAATTTATAATAAGATAAGTCAATATTCATCGTCGAATAATGTTATCTTCATCACACATCTTTAGAAACAGTTTCTATTTGAAAATTTCTTTTTTACAATAAAGTTTTATTGCGATGTCCCTGCTTTCGATATTTTAGTTTCGACATTTTTACTTTCGACCAAATTCAAGATTACCATTTTTCTACAGATAAAACTAACTAAAAGTTGGCATTTATTTTATTTATAATTTTTCACTACATTTTCCAAGTCTTTCGATAATTCCTGACGTCGTTCATTAGTGATAAAAGCAGCATAAATAGCATCTAGCGTCAATTGAATCCAGCTTTTCTACTGATAATTGAAAAGCTTCTTGAATTGCATTAAAATTTGCTAGAATATAACCACCAAAAATAGGCAGGATCATCAGAATTAATAGTTACTTTAATATTATTGCCAAGAAATAATTTTAATGGTAAATCTTGTATTATTTTTATGACTTTAAGTTTAAGATTGGAAAGAGGACACTTTGTTAGATGAATTTTATATTGTGCGATTTGCTGTAAAAATGCTGGATCATCAGCACAATGAATACCATGATCAATACGTTTAACTTTAAGTAACTCAATGGCTTCTTTAGCATATAATGAAGGACCTTCTTCACTAGCATGTGCTACACAATGTAAAACGAGGTCATGAGCTCTCTTATACAGTTGGATAAATTTTGATGGTGGATTATTGATTTCATTTGATTTCCAACCGATGCCAATAAAATAATCACGGTATTCTAAAGCTTTATCAAGAATTTGAAGTGCTGATTGTTCGTTTTGATCACTCATAAAACTAATGATGAGACCTGTTGTAATGGTAAACTCAGTTTTTGCTCTTTGACAAGCACGTATTAAACCATCAAATTGACTTTTAAGTGTCGCATTACGACTTAAATGAGCTTGAACATTGAAAAATACTTCACAATGACGAACATTTTCATTAGCAGCACGTTGAAAATATGTCCAAGCTAAATCATAAAAACCATCACTAGTAACGAGAACGCGTACTTCTTCCTTCAAAAGATTGAGAAATGATTTCAAATCAATAAAATTTGCATATTCTTGTTGGAGTGCATCAATATTTTCAAATGGTACAGTAATATTATTTGGTTTTGCCAATTTAAACATAAGATCAGGATTCATAGTTCCTTCAATGTATACATGAAGTTTGACTTTAGGTAAACGATGCAGAAATAGTTTCATACTAAATAATTTACTTATTAATATCGTTCATATTAATAAATAATGTAACCTACTGATTCAAGGTCATTCAGTTGATATATGTTATGTATAGAATAAGACTATCGTCTATTGCAAACGAAAGATTGCACGTTATGCATTCTTCTCTCCACTATTCAATCAATTGAGGTTTTAAAAAAACTTACATAGACACACCATAATGTGCACGTGCACAATGCATGCTATGATCTGGCATGCGTGTGAATGCATCAGAGAGCAAACTATATTCGTGTGCACATGCATATTTCACATAGATTGTAATGCGCGTAAATGCAGGATAAAACTTGTATGGTCATACATGTTCGCTTACGCATGCAGAAACGTCGGAGAGTAAACTATGCTCGTGTGTATATGGAATAGCTATGAATACGAGAGTTCTCCAATGATAAATTTGCATTCATGAACCCTCAAATTGCAAAGTGAAAAAAAAACGAATACAAATACAAGAAGTTATCGAAGATTCCATGCAAACGTTCGTGAGCATCATTTTCGGGTGTTAATACAAGCTTTCCAAAATAAAAATTAAAAAAATCAATCATGGTATACACTTTGTTTGCAGGCATTTACACGCATGAGAGATTTAGAAGAAAATGGTCGCATACGAATTTGAATCTGGCATATTAAATTCACAGACAAATATTCTTACCACTCATCACTTGATCGATATTCATTAACATCAACAAATAAGTATCGTTTATTTCCGTTATATATGACAAGTAGGCACACGCGACTCCGAAAAAAAGTTCGCAGGCATGAGCATTCAGTTGCTGTATTCTACTGATATAAAAAAATACTAAGTCTTTTTGTAGTACATGCATTGTTATGCTAGAATTTCGACAATCTTTTTATTGATCTATATGCAAAATGATGCTATTCATTTTTTTGACTATAAAGGTGAACACTATACATGCTTTGAAAGTCTCATTGATGCGTACAGGCGCTAATGTGTACTAAGACACAATATATTCGCCATATACGGTTCAGATAGTTTTGTAAGTTAGTTGAAAATCGTTCCATATACGTATATCTTCAACGATTTGATACAAGTTTTTTTTGTACATCAACGAAAGATACATGCGTTCTGTTTGTACATATATGTTATGGCCGAAGTTGGAATCCAGCCCGATTCGGAATTCGTCCAGACGAAATAGGAATTCTAATTTCGTCTAGACGAAACTGGAATATTTTTTTAGTGGGTCATACAGCTTAAAGAAATACCCACAATAGAACACAAGTGGGTCACGAATGATAGTGAGGGTGGCCGAGGGTCTTGATAACGATGCAGGCGATCTCAGTGGGGCTGACAGAAGTAGCGGTCAAAGGAAATTGAAAAACCGCGTAAAAACCGTATATCAGTCACAGATTTATCCTTACATTCATCCAAACCACGTCACCGTTATTCAGAGTCCCTCGTCNACAGTTGCATTGGCAATAAGAATAAGAAGAATGACAAGTGGTTCCACAAAAGCAGTTATCAGATTATCGTCTTCTTTATGTTCTTCAAACAAAGCTAATACCTGTTTGAAAGAGAAAAACAAGTATGTAATTAAATTGACGTAAAAGAAAAAAAACGATTTATCAACATACAAATGAAATGCAAGCAGCAGCAAGTAAAATTTTGACTAGAAGATCGTCGAATTGTTCTAAGATAAGTTTCCATAGTGGTTTACCTTCTTCAGTTGGTAGTTCTGAATAAAGACAAATTATGTTAATTATACATACGCAATTGTTTTTTTTTCGCACTTACCATTAGGTCCATATTTTTCAAGATCTTGTGTAACGCGTTCTTCTGTGAGACCTAGTTTTTCATCAACTTTATAAAAATTAACAACATCTTCTTTCGTTTTTGTCCATGGATAATCCATAACTAATTTTGAAATAGATGAACGATGGTGTACATTGGATCGTTGCATGACAATATAGATTGAGATGACAACTATAGAGAAAAAAAAAGAAAGTCGTATATTCTTATAGAAGATTCACGATATTGAATTAAAATTTTAACATCCGCTCATAAGATGTACACGTACAAATGCTCGTTCTGTAGTTAAGCGTGTCGACAGCCCGGAATATCCTCGTAATAGCCGATAAGCATCTAGCATGCCAATCACTTTTGAAAGCGTCAATGAAATTAAAAAAAAACTTCAAAAATTTCTTGTTTATAAAATTTAATTATTGAGAAAAATTGTAATAAATGTTAATTTTAATAAAAAGAAAAAAAAGAACAATAGAGGGCGCTCGAAAGCAGTTTTAAAAAAATATTCACCTATTGAGTCATTAATATAAAGCAAGCTAAATGATTTGACAAAAGCGATTATATTTATTTTCTGATTGATATTTATTTCAGTTCATTGTGTTTGTATCAAAGAAAATAATTGCTTTTTATAAGCTTCAATTTGATAATTGCTTTATTCATTGAATGTCAGATTGTATTGTTTTTTTGTTCTGAAGAATTATAAGAAATACTTCATGAAACCAGAGAAAAAAAATGTCATCAAGGTTTTTTTTTCATCAAGATTGATTTCGTATATTTTATACTATAAACACAAGAGAATGTCATTTCCTTTACTTGTTCTATTTTCATTTGCATATAATTGTCAACGTTCTCAGTATTATTTTCATTTCTTTCTCGAAAAAGCGATTCAATCACTTCATATAATAATTACGCATTTAATCTATTAAAGAATTTAATCCAAATGTAATAGTCAAATGCGTAATTAATTGAATGCAGTATATCAAAGGAAAATTAGCATGTCACATTATGAGAAAAAAATGTTGTGTTAATTTTAATGGGTACCAGGAAGATTAATTTCGAATGCAGAGTTGAATAAATCAATAATATTTTGGTTTTTTTAATCTATCAATATAATTGAAGATATAAGATGTTTTCTTCATTGATCTGTGTCCTTTTCACAAGATTAATTAATATTCGATCTAAACCAGAATTATACTTTGCATTCATAACACTATTGTCTATTTCGTTTGTTCGAGAAAAGATATTTAAAGATGATGTATGATAAATTATTTGAAATCATGTATATGCCCTATCGAAGCTGTTTTGATTTAGTTAAGCGGTAAACAGTTGATTATTTATATGAGATCATCGAAACTGACATTTAAAATTAAGGTTTCATCGAAGCAAAAGACATATATATGTGTATATCACAATGAGAAAAATGTATAGGCTCTCCTAAACGACACAACCACCTTAAGAAGTCATGAAAATCATCACGAACAACTATGAATTATCGCAATTATCCAACAAAAGTCAAATCTGTATTAAAACAGTTAATTCAAATGGAATTACATTCTGATCTAGAGATTGTGCTGAATGCTTAATCATCTACTATCATCCAAAATAGTCAAAAAGTAGTGTTAGCTAACTACCACTACTATTAAAATCAACAAATCTGACGAGTAAACATTTTCAACTGATCAATCGCTTTTGAATTCGAAAAGTACACTCTCATGAGAAATGTAAAACCTACAAATGATAAATGTCCTTAGATTTTCTACCCAAAATTGTAAACATTTTACTACAATTTTAGCCTCTGATACGGTATATACCAACAAATTAAATGATGATATTTCGATCTGAACATTTTCCTACAAATAGATGTATTTGTCAGTAGAATATTTTCTTCCCGAGATACAAAAGCTTCAAAATAGCAGAAAATGTTAGTATCTTTCATTGAATATGTGTGATCTTTGAGACTTTAATATTTCGGCAAGGAAACTATGTTTGAGTTGAAGTTTTCAAAACATTCTACTGACAAATAGATCTGTGTGTGAAGAGAATCTCAGTTCGAAACATTGTCATTTGGTTTGGTGATATAAATCATATCGAAAGCTAAAATTCTAGTGAAATATCTATAACTTGAGACAGAAAACCTAAGAAGACTTATCCTTTGAAGGTTTTTTATATCTCATTGGAGTCTATCTTACAAATTCAAAAACGATTGATCAATTGTTGACGGTTTCAATACAGATTTGACTTTTGTTGGATGATCGTGATTATCCATGCCTGTTCTTGTTAATGTTCATGCTTTTTTTGTGTCTTGTAGTTTACAGGAGCTCGTACAGTGTTGTTCTTCCAGTACATACATACTATATATGTTGTTTGTTGCGATAAAAGATTAACTTTACATATCAGTTTCGATGATGTCATAAAAGTAATCAACTATTTACTGCTTAACTTGATAAAGACAACTTCGATACAACAAATGCATTTTTCAATGTTGTACTCCTGATAAAAATTGTCAAAATACAAAAATATACCGAAAATCTTTCAAATTAAATTTTAATATCTTTCAGTGTTGAAGATTTCGATTCACCCATTAAGAGATATATGAAAAAGTTGATTAAGAATTTCTTCTACGTTCTTACACAGAAAATATACGTTGGCTCTTGCTGAATTCATCAGAGGTCGCTAAACCATTGCATCGCTGGTTGCATCGGCTTCATCTAGCCAATCAGAAAAGATAGGAATACTCCATAAACATGAGAAAAGGAGTTATGGTGGCAGATATGTTTTAGACGAAGAAATTCTTTTCTATTTGATATATGACCTTGAACATTTTCTCAAGCATCATAAACTTGAATAACCTTGAATATACCTTTAGATTCATTTCTTTATTTTTTTTTACTTTCGCTTATTGATCATTTAAATATAAATATGAATAAGAATATGAAAAACTTTTTCTTTTTATTCCTCGAAGTCGGACTCTTTTTTTTCTTCCAAAGAGAATAACAACCAATCGATAGAATCGTTTGCCCTTTAATAAAAAGAAAAACAGTTTTTTACATAGTGCGGCTTTACGTGTAAAAGGAGAAACAAATCATTTCTTTCGGTTTTTTTTTCTGCATGATAAACTGTATGCAGTCGATCGTAATGCACCGAGATAAAATACCTTCCTTTTTCTTTTTTTTATTCAGCATGCGTTGAATTACTTTTTCTTCTTTTTTTTTTTTATTATCGTGAATAGTTAGTCGAGGCAAAAAAAAGGGAAGAAATCAGATCAGCATCGAAGAAGCAAGTTGTTTTTTTTTCTTTTAGATAAGTAATATACATACACAATACAGATATCAACATGAGTGGTCGAGTTTCTGCTCTCATGAATGGATTGTATGATTCCAAAAAAAGACAATTTCTTGGCAGAGATGGAGCTGGATGGAGTAAATAAAAATTTAAAAATAAAAAAGAATAATCGAGCAATGTATTCTTTTTTCTAAATAGCTAAGTTAGGTGTTTTTTACTTCTTCTTCTATCTTGGCTTGGCCGGTTTTTTCTGTGCAATGTTAGCTGTTTTTATGGCATTATCCCCGCGTGATCGACCACGATATTATTCGTATTCATCGCGTATGGCTACTCGATCAAATCCGCTTTCACCTGGTATGAATATTTATTTATACAAAAAAAAATTTCATAAGTTGTTTTTCAGGTCTTGGTTTTCGACCTCAACCAGAAGCTGATAAAAATATAATAATCCTTGACAAGAGTGAGGATTCAGAGACACCAAATAGCTATGCTAAGAGTCTTGATCAATATCTTCAAATTTGTAAGTCAAATCAATAGTTATCATGTGTTTTTTTTTGAGTTTCTAAGACCATTATTTATTTAGATTATTGGAAAACAGATAATGTTGAGAAAGTAGAACATGATGACGACGACGACTATGAAAAAAATGTAGTCCCAGCTGAAAAATTCGTTATTAATAATCCAGGTGATTGTATAAACGCCACTCAATATGGTTTTGCACTAGGAAAACCATGTGTACTTGTTAAAATGAATAAAGTAAAATTAAATAATAGAAAAAATACTTATAAAAAACAAACTATTTTATTAGATTGTTGGCTTTAAACCAAAGCCAGGTTCAACAGCAGAAGAAAGACAAACATATCAAGAAATATGTGACCAAAAGCAATCAGCTATTGCAGTCCATTGTCATGGAGAAGTCATTATATTATTTTATTATTTACAAAAAAATCAAATTATTTTTTTTTTTTGTAGTATCCCGCGGACGAAGATAATATTGGAAGTATAACTTACATGTCAGAAAAAGGCCGTAGTACTAAATGTGGTGCACTTGAAACCTCATGGTTTCCTTATGAGTATAATGAAAGACTCTTTTCGTATGAATAGATCGATCAGTTTGCTTTTATTTTTGTAGAGGTAAAACTAATCGTCGAGACACATATCAAGCACCATATGTTTGGGTTCAATTTAATAATCCAAGACCAAACGTATTAATCAATGTTTTATGCCGTATATATGGTCAAAATATTGATTACGATAAGAAAACAGGTCGAGCTATGACACGTTTTCAAATTTATGTTAAAGATATAAAACAAGAATCTTCACGTCAGAATGGAGATGTTTAAAAATTTTCTGCTTCCGTGTGTCAAATATTTTTAGCAAAAAAAAAATTAACATGTAGTCGAATGAAAAAACAGTGCTGTTGTATGCGTGTTTTATGTATTACTATTTTCTTCCTTTTTTCTCACAATGACCTTTCTCCTTCTTCTTTTTCTTTTTTTTTTTGTGCAAAAATTTAAACAAATTCCTTTTTATTCGTATTAAGAGAACGTGTTGCTTGAATGAGTTTAATCCTTAAATTTTTATTTTTCTCCTCTTTTAATTGTAACAGTATTGTCTTTGTGAAATGATTGTGTAGTTTGAAATGAATTAACTTTAGTAGATGTCGAAAAAAACAAATAATTAAATAAATTTCTCTTTCTGTAATGACTAATATATGATGAATATTGATTGAATATGAGCAGCCGTCAAAATAGTCAATTATATTGCTTTAAACTTTTTAAAAGCACATATCAATTTCATTAAAGGATATTATAAGTTTACAAATGTAAAATTCTTAAAACAGCTAAGTGTAGTTATGAATATGTGCCATGTGATGCTTTATAATGTTAGTTGTATTCTACAACATTGGCGTTTCTTTTTTTTTTTGTTTTTGACTGATTCTCTCTATTCTGATGAAATATTTCGAATTTGAGAGAAAAAAATCAAGCAAACAGTGGAATTTTAACTGATCAGAAAGCATTTCAAAGTGTCCAACCACTTTTCACTTCGGACTGGCAATTTAAGTACAATTTTATGAGTAACTTATTTTTCAATACAGATACGTTTACCATAGCTTAACCTTTGGGTGTATATAGTGACTGTGTGAACGATCTATTAACAAGATTTCAGGGCGAAACGCGGTCATCCACGTTCTTATCCATTCTATTCTCGTTGAGCAAAAATCAAGTAACACGCTTATAGCACAGCAATCGAAAACTGAGAAACGAAATCGAAACAGACTTTTTTACTACTTATCATGATCGATTGAATGGCAATGGACTCAAACGAAAAACAATTGGACGATTGGGAATTTTGTCTCGTAGGATAAAAGTGTTTCAGAATACTATTCGAATTATGTTAGAATGAAAAAAATTCAAAAAATTATTTTCTACAGTCATAGATAATGTAACGTTTTTACAACATCATATTATAAAGTAATAGAATGGAATACAATCAGTTGTCGTATGAAAATATATCTTCTACCTTTCACATTATCAAAAATTCAAACGTTACCTAATTACATTAACGACCAATGTCAGTTGATATTTATTACGCACTTGATTTATTCATGAGAAAAATAAATTAGTTTGAGCATGCTCAGTCATCCGAATAATTAAAATGATTATATCATGTGTGATTCTGTTCTAATTATATAACATGAACTTTACTAAATAATACAGTTGAAATATATATGAGGGCATCGTATTTTTTGAAAAACTAATGAAAAGAATTTTATTTTCTTCTGTTTCGTTCATTAAATATACTGAATGACTTGAAGTGCATATAACTCTATGAGAATATCATGAAATCTTATAAATAAGATAAACAATCGAAAACATGTATTATTACAACATTGAGATAGAATTACAAGCATTTTTCTACATCAATGCATCTACTTATATGCACTTTACAACAATAATGAAATGAATTTTGATGCTATTACTTAAATATCTTATAAAACTTTCTTTGAACGAAATGCATTATGGTTTTCAATAAGTTCTTATTTTTATCTAACTAAACAATCTCATGAATTAATTGAATAGGAGACATTTCAATATACAAGAGAAAAATAATTATAAAATAATACAAGAAACACACACTAACTTTGAAGGAATATTTGGTATTTTTTGGAATGAAATCTTTATTGATTCATTATTTTACTAGGGAAAGTCTCCAAGTGTGACTCGCCAATTTGACTGATATTCTGCCAATAAGTAGGTCTCATTTACCTTAGAACGCCTTGAACATTTCAATATAAAGGAACGTGTCGTTCTCGAAATATCTAATGTTAAAAACACTGGACTTTCGTACTTTTGCTTGTGACGAATGATCCGTAATGAAACGAATAGAATGATTTAAATGAATACGCATTTTGACACTTTTTATTGAAATATTACAATAAAAAAGTTATTCTCCAGAATGAAGGAAACTCGAATTTTTAGGATAAGATCGTTTTTATTTCATCAAAAAAGAAAGTAGCTCAAAAGAAAAGTTATCATGAATTTCGTCCTACCGACTTTCAGCATCTATCAGAAGGATATTTGTTCACTTTGGGCACAGTCCTTACCATCGCTTGATGTTGATTTGGCATGTTAACCATGCAAATCACTGTACAGACTGTGTGTAAAGTAAACATATTCTTTCCAAAGTCTAACGCGAAAGCCGGTACGACAAAACTGCTGGTTTCCCTTTAGACAACGAAAATTGATTCGATAGACTACTTCAGGCTCTACAAAATGGACTATTGATGATCATTCTTTTTTTCCTTTAATGTTTAAGGAATTTCCTTTTCTAAGCACATCTTCCTATTAAATATTAGTTTTTCGCATTAGTCAGCAGTAGTATAAAATAGAAAGCTGGAATTCGAGTAAGCATGGAACACCCAAGCAGGAATAACGTAACATTAAAAGAAAATTGTCCAAATGGCTCAATTAGAACTAAAATTATTACATAAATACAACTAGAATCTGAATCATACCAAAAAATGGCATTTCACTCAAATATAGTTTGTTTCAAAAACCTTATAAATTGAATTTTAATTTACTCGTTTATCTGGATGATGAATTCATAAAAAGTAAGCAATAATAATGATAATGAAAAATAGATATACACTAATGCATACAAACAAATAATCTTTTAATTATATAATAACTTTAAACTCTAGATATTTGAAAAATACACGGTGAAAGATCTTGGATACTACCATATTTCATCGAATTCTTGTATCCAATAAGAAGTTAAGTATTTAAATGCGAAAATAACTTGTTTTCTTTTACAGCAGACCGACGAGTACTGTTTCTTAAGTGTATTGTATTTTATTAGAGAACAAGAAAAATATTGATTCTCTATGAAGTTTACACTTTTATTGATGATCCGTAAACAATTTGTTTTCTTTTTGTGCCTGAGGATAGGTAAGTGGAAACTATACAGGATTCATATAATTATTATTTTCAAGTTTCATAGAACAACAAGGTTTCTTTTATGTTATTCTCTCAGAATTCACTTGCAACATCATAATTGACAACGTCAAATACAAATAAAAGGAAAGAAAAGAAAGAGAAACATTACACATGTAGAATACAATGAAGTAAAGCTTAGCAGAATGTACTCTTACATGAGTTTAACACAAAATTTTTAGATCAAATACATAGAATTTAATACTAATGGAATCGAAGAAAATTCTATTGAAACGTATATCTCATAGAATTCTTGTCTGTTTTATATGTGGTGATGTAGTACATAGAATGAATTTTAATGTTATGACATGTAAAGCATTTTTTTTTGAACAAAATGCACTCCATAGATGGATAAATTAGTAGCGATTCAAAAAATAAAAAAAGAAGAATCGATCTTAATTAAAATTATCAAAAAGAATTTAAATATGACATGCGCAATAAGCTCAAATATTCTTACTCATATTCAAGATATATTTATTGTCATATTGTGAAAATAGTCAATCTATCAATATGGATTTATAGAAGTTGTACAACGTTTAAATTATCTCGTCGAGAACTATTTAGATGTACTTAATTGACTTAATGAAATTAGTAGTAAGCAACATACGGAAATGATAGACATTATTATTATTATTCAAAAAAGTACACATTTTCTAGCTTTAGATAATTAAATCGTATTATAAATAAAATTGCTTTGTCTGATAATACATATTATTCACAAATAAAAATTTTAATTATTATCTGTATTGCGTCATGTATTTTAAAACTAATAAATAATAAAAAACCTTTTCATAGAAAACAAAAGGCAAATAGCAATTGTTATTTCTTATTTTAGAAAATAAATATGTATTTTAAGTGCATTTTACGTTGAAGAGACAAAGGTAATGTGTCCTCGTCCACTATGACAAGCAATAAAGGAAGAGTATTTTTCTTTTCTTTTTAATGTTTAAAAACTTTAACAGAAAACAGATTGAGTTATAATTATATAACTTAACTTATCTTCTTCTATTAACTAAATTTATAGTTTGTAAGTGATACAACTATTCAAATATCTTATTGTAATAAAAAAAACTCGATAATAATAGTTCGAATGAAAGTTTTATTTTCTTTTAGACGAACTCAAATAATTCTTATTTTGATTGAAGTCCTAAGAAGTATGAAAATATATTTACAAGCTATTTATTAAACGTTTTATTCTTAGAATAGAAAAAATTCTCAATGTTTTTTTTTTCGGACTTTTGCTATCAAATCTTCCTGATAATAAATAAACATTGTGACGAAAGTTGAATGGAAACCATAAAGAAACAGGACTTGCAAATACAATGACATTGTGTGTTACATGATACTGAAATTGTTTTGATAGATGACAACAATATTTGAACGACATGTTTCAGAAGACGAAGAAACAAGAAAATAAGAACTTTTATTAATCAAATATTTCCTTTCTTCAATCAATAAATTATGTTTTTATCAGAATTAACATCTTAAAATAGTATCTCATGACAATCAGAAAAAGTGATGAACAACTTGAATCTGTGTATTGTTCAAAAAAACAAATATAGTATTTTCATGTTCCTAAACTCAAGCAGCTTATTTCATTTATGACCGTTGACATATAAACATTTTTTTTATAAATGAATATCAGAACAAGTGAGTCATACTTTCCAACAAGTCGTTCATTAGTGCGTACAGAAATTGTTCAGTAAGGTTTATGGTCAATTTTTTCTGCTGTCGTAAGTACTTGAAAGAATCCAAATAGTGACTTGAATAGAGAAAATGGCTTTCAACGGGGATATAAGGAAATCAAAAAACTTTATCAGGTTTCCAAAGGCAGGAACTTCAAAACATTAAAAGGCTAGTTTTTCAGCAAATCTATACGAAATGAGACACCGCCGAGTTCTCTGGGACGTTTTTTAGCTGAGATACAGCAATTTTACGGAAGTCCTTCAAGTCATTTTTTTGTGATTTCCTATAGACAAAGCATTTTTTGACCTTCAATCAAATTGCTATTTCTCAAACAGAAAACGTGGCAGAGAACTCGGCGATTACTGATTTTCTACCGAACTGTTTACTCGATGATTCTATATAGTCTAAACAAAATTATATGTACGTGTTTATCAATCTTGTTAGAAACCATTTTCTCTTATGATTAATGAAATTGTTATACTAAAAAGAAATTATATGTTGTCACGGTGTTTAGTATAGTCGATAACCTTTGTTTTCATGTATTTATAATAGTGCCATACCTAAAGAAAGAGAAATCCAAAGGCCTTGAGAAAACTGCTTGGTACTTCTAAACTTTGCAAGATAAAATATTTGTATTGATCAAGTTTTATAAGGGACACTCTGTGTGCTACCTACCAAAGTAAAAAGATCAATAGACTTTTATGGCAGCTTTCAGAAATCCAGCTTGATTTTTAAACAATCTCTTGGAAAACTGGTTTTTCAATTTTTTCTCAGAAAATAGCTTGCTTATGAAAATATACCTCTGTGTTTTGGGTATCATAGGTTGAAAACTACAAGTTTCTATGTTGTTCCTATAAAAAGTAATCCAAAACAAAATTCAAATGCCTTGAATTTCGGTGTCAATGATAATTTTCAGATTTTTACTGAATTACACTAGCATATCGTTAATTATTGATGAATATTATTATCGAGTTAATCATTTAATATCTTTATATTTGCCATTCGATTCTGTATGATTTGTGAAAAATGTCCATTGTAATCGAAATTGATCATTCAAGTAAAGGAGTTATAGAAAAAAAAACAAAGCTATGAAACTTGATTTGGAATAGAACATATTACCATCTGTATTTTCTCGAGTCGACAAAACTACAAAATAGATGTGGATTAAGTTTATTCATTGAAAACAAATAATAATGTTATTCTTTGAATGATTCTTTTTTTATTTCTCATTCATATTTTCTTTCAAAAGTAATCTTAACATAGTTTTCATATTGTATTTTGTTTGCAAATAGTGAATCATCCAAATACGTACAGTGTTCTCAATGCAAGTTGATATATAAACCGGTAATATTTTTTACCTTTCTTTCATAAATAACATGTCGATTTATACTTATTTTGTGCTTCTACTGGCAAGCACAATATTTATTCAAGTCAATTCGCAAGATCCGATAAAAAGTTATTCTATTCGTAAAGATTTCTTTAAAGGATTTAAAGCAGGTGAATTTTCAGTGCGTGATCCCAGTGGAAAACATCTTTTTTATCGTATCGAATCCAGCTATGCTCTATTGCAAAGTCTTAAGCTAATTGCTTATCCATCAAAACAAGAAGTTGGTCGATTAAAAGCTTTGATAAAACCATTAGTATACAAAGCCGAAATTTCAATTTTTGATCTTCAAACAAATCAATCGACTAATGGATTAATTGAAGAAAATTTACAATTATTTCGTAATTCATTTAATATTGATTGGAATGGTTCTCATTTAAAAATGGAAGGTGATATTGGCTCATTTACAACGAAATTTCTTGATGAAAATGGAGAATTATTAGCACAGTTTAGACTACAACCTAGTTCACTATTTTGGACAAGAAAATATAATATGCAAATATTTTCAACAAAATATCCAGAACAAATCTATTTTTTAGGATTAGCCGCTCGTGATCATATTTCTTCTCGCAAGAGAAGTGGATAAAAAAGTTATCGTAACATAAACTATACAATTCAATGAATAATTTTTTCGAACTCAAATAAACGAATGAATAAAATTATAGAAAGAATATAAATATTCTATTTATAGAAAAAAAAACAGATTTGACCTAATGTCTACAGACAGACAGTAGTTTTATAACCACGAAGATGTTTTGACTAAGTCACAGAAATAAAATTATTCGAAGATTTTATAACTTTATCAAATCTTTGAACATCTGTCTAACTTACGGCTAGCTTAAACAAATAAAATTAAAATATGAAATTAGTGCGGAAACAGCGTACCGGTACGAACAAGGAAATATATAGCCGAGACTCACAATATTCTTCTGACAATTGTTCAAATTTGGAGAAGAGTTTTGGATTATTAGAAGCACTTTAGATTATATAGTTTGAAATCAAGCTGAAACCAAAAAAAAACAAAACAATTACCATATCTTAGTCTAGTAGAAATTGCATTTATAAGTTTATTATTAGAGTTTGGTTTCATATAATGTCAGCGCTAGAATTAAAGAAAATTGTGTATAAGTTTCAATAATTCGACAACAACAGCAGCTAGTAACCTGTGGTTTTCTGTAATCGAAAGAGAAGAACTTCGGACGTGTTTTTTGTCTGATATTATATAGGACAAAATTACTCTAAAACACATCATTTTTGAAGAACATGCATGAAAATAATATTTCATTTCGATGTAATTTTAATTTTGATATATGCTTCAGACAGAGATACTTTAGAGCTATAGTTGAAGGCACGATTCAAGTGATTATCGTCTCAAATCTCAATGTTATGCAAACAAAATCACGTATATACTTAGTCAAATAATATAGATTTCTGCTAGATTTTAGCAAATTTTCTGATATTTGATCAAAACTTCTTTGAAATGACACACTGTGTAAATGAGTGTTTTTGAATTGTTTGCAAAAATGATGAATTTAAAAAATAATTTTGTCTCATACAATAGCAGACAAAAAAAAATGTCTTGAGTTTTCCGCTTTCAATTGCTGAAACTCGCAACTTGGCTTCTGTTGTTGTTGTTCAGTTATTTAGAATATACTTAATGCTCTTTAATTCTAGTATAAACATTAGTCGTCATTCGAAGCATTTAGAACAAAAAACTGTCTATCATCCTCGATTTCAAACTGAACAATACAGAATTTAATTATTAAAGTAAAGTCACTTCTCTTCATATGTATAATACATTAGAAAAGTGTAGTATAATGATAATAATCTTTTTTTTTAGTGTTATCAATTATTTGCAATAAGCCATGCACATCTTCTAGTTCGCTTAGTTAATAAAGGCTAGTTTGTTCTCTTTTATTATAATTATAGAATAAATTTTTTAATTATAAATCATAATATGGAACCTTTAATGAGTATGTAAATGAAATGAAATGTGTTCTTGTACATATTACAGTATCTATCTAGTTTTCCCATAGTTTAAATATTTGTACCCTTACGTATTCGTACACATATATCAATTTTAATGTTGCTGAGTATATTTATTCATTTAAATTGAATTAGATTTCATTACAGAATAATTTTTCATACAAATAGAAAAAATCGTAACTGTTTTGGTTTATTGGATTGATCTTGACTTTTTAAACATGCCTTTACTATTTTTTCTTTGCAAATTTTCCATTTGTTCTCAACAGTCAATAAAATTTCATTTTCGTTTATGGTGCCATAAAAATGATTCGATATATATCATTTTTTTTTATTTTGTTTGAGTCTACAATAAGTATTGACCTTTAGGTTCTGATTCATTCATAATTACATCACGGTTTTAATGTAGGAGTTAAAATAGTTATAACTTGGATTATAATTGTCAGTCATAGTTCTAACTTTCGACTAGAATTATAATCCTGAACTTTATTTAGAACCAATTTGGTCATAGTCACTAATCAATGCATTTTTTAACGTTGCTTGAGACTAATTACAACGATTCAACGAACCACCATCGAATTATTCCTTATAAATGACGTAGGAAACATTTCTCTTTACCTTTTACTTATCAGAAAACAAGGGTTGCATCTTCTCTTCTCTTTGCTCTGGTTGTCTTGATTTCTTTATTTTTCCGTTTCTCTTCTCTCATTCGTCGATATGGGCTACGTGCTAATAAAAGTAGTGATAGACGCATAAAAAGGAACAGAGAATAACCTGATATAATTATTTCGTACTTAAATAAAATACAGATGATTATATTGACCGGAAGCGTTACCTGAATTTCCTCGCAACATACATTGAAGATGATTACCACTTTAGAGAATAAGAAATAGAATGGAGTAGTTGCAGTTTTAAAATACTATTGCCAGTTGCTCACTTGTTAAAGGTCATTTTGATCATATAACGAAAACTATATTGTATCACACGTACATTCCTGTTCGACATGTAAATACGAGAAAATGTAATTTGCAGACAAATTATTTATAAATAATAAGTTTTAATAGTAGAGAACAATGAAATACATATATTTTTTATTTATTCTACCAAGAATCTCAATTAAGTCAAAAATGATTACTATTTCAACTTAATTAACTCTACTCAAAACATCAAAAAGTTAAGCAAGTTAAAATGGTTGATAGTTATAACTCGGGTTGATGGCTAAAACTCAATCAAGTTTTGACAGAAAAATTGATCAGTTATGAATCGAAAGATATAACTTCGATAATAGCTTAAATAGTTTGAACTGTCATACTGAGAAGAATAGCAGAAGAAAACAGGGGGAAGAGAGGGACAGAGAGGAAAGAGAAGAAGAAAAGGGGACAGAAGGAGAACGGAAGAAGAACGGTATATATATCAAGATACGAGATGGTAATGAAAGGGAGAATGTGGGCCTTCTCTTAAGCTATCCTAGTACACTCATACGAACTCCCTTTAGGGCAGTCTATAAGAAAGGATGATCAAACACACGGTTTGATTTTCAAAAGTCGAATATAGGTAAAAATCGTATTGTACTTCAGGATTACACTTCGAAAATTTGAAATAGCAGGGGTCACAGCGGTCTATGGCTCGGAATTAGGAGAAATCAGGATTTTTGATGAAAGTTAGAACATAGTAAGACTTATTATAATACTGCTGTTCAGGATGATATCTGAAGAAAATGAAATATATGAACGACTGTTTATTGAAATTACTATATATTTTTGTTCGATAAAAGTAAAGACTGATCAAAGGAAAATCAACAATGTAACAAGTTAATCTTTCTGCAGATACGTACTTCGAATTCTGTTTTTTTTGGTTCTCTTTCTCTCTCGATGCGTATTGTGTTTGCGTTATCTCTTCAGCAGATTTGTGGCATTGGAGGAAGAAAGATGAAGGAAAGTGTACTACTTAGTTTAAGAGAGTTTTGAGTTTTTTTTTCTGACTGAAATATCATTTTATCAGATAAAAGATCATAAAATGAAAACTGAAAAATGTGCTCCTTTAAATAAACATTTTCAAATACTGAAAAATACAGTGTTGAGGATGTAGAGTGTGTTGATGAGAGTTAGTTGTATGTAGGCATGAATCTTCACTTCAACTTGGCTTACATCCACACCATTCCAAGAAGCTCATTCACATTATGCAAAAGCTAATGAACAACAATAAAATTAATTGACCCATATTTATGCTATCAATGGAAAACAAGGTTTTGATGCTGAAAATGAACGATTGGAACAAAAAGAAATTCAGTTGATAAATGAACAAAAGAATTTAGTAAGGCAACTAAAATATTGGAACAAGAGAGTAGAAGACTCACTACAACCATGAACGATAAGAAATTTTATGAGAATGATACTGCTTAAGTATTTAAAATAGCTGCTAGTACTACTAAAATAGCTGCTTTGAAAAGTCAATTAATTGAAAATAATGGACGCTTGAACTGATTAAAAAAAATAATGATTGAAATAAAAATAATTTGATTGCTTTTTGTTTTTGGGAGAAAATATTCAACAAATATTGCTACGCGAGTCTTAGAGAAACGCTGAGTATAATAAAATAATACGTCATAATGACTTATGTATGGTCCTATAGAGATGGATCATGAAATATCAGGACAAAGTTAGGATTTTCAGTCAAAAATTCGAAAATCAAGAGATCGAAAAAAGTTAGGGAAAAGCCTGGAAGTAGTATCATTGCGAGGCCTGCATATAATTTATTTTAATTCATTCTGTAAGAGAATATGCAACTCCTTTAAAATTTTATGTTGATGTTAGAGTAAAGATCAATTTAATAGTTAGCTATTTTCTTTTGACTATTCCATTAGAGTTTTAAAGTTTTTGATGTATTCTTTATAAGATAAAATTTCAAGACGATCTAACACGCATATGGATATTTTACAGTTCAGCAAATAAATGTATCATTCTTCTAAGTTAACAAGCAACGAATTCTTGTTCATATTGTTCAACATTTTTAAGTCGCCTTACCAGGATCTTAGTATTCTTTTCTTCAAATGTAGACACTAAAAATTTATTCGTATACTTCAGAGTGCGAGTGTAAGGCTTTGGGTTTATATACTCTTTTCACACACCCACAGCCACTCCCCACACCTAAACACTCAAACACTAACAGCACACTCCACATTCACATGCATCTGTCCACATCTGCATCTGTTTTCATATAATACGGAAATAGATAAATATTAATCTAACATCAAAGTAATTTAAAACTAGAACATGATCTATTGATTAATTAGTAGAAAGGGAGTTCAATTAATTATTAACATTTAAATGAAATATAGGATAACCACCAAGAGATTTTTTTCATCAATACTATTCAAATGATTTACAACATTTGATTAGGCGGTAAAAAAAGTGTTAAAACAGTGAAATGTCATTAATTTTTAGCATTTAAAAGTAAAAAAAAACCTTAAAAAATTATTAGTTTTGAACTGCCTTAACGCGTTTTTGACAATTGATTAAACATTTTCCATAGTTTAGGTATGGACATGTTTCAATCCCGTTTTGGTCGTTACCGTGACTACATGAATTCATCGTGTTTAGTATTTTAATCTCGTAACGATAGCACTGAAAGATCTTTCTTCACTAAGTATTTCCACAATTTTTCTTTCTTAGTACCTATCGAAGGACAAAACATTCCATAAGGCTACAAATTCTATATTAGTGGAGTACACCAAATAAATGCTTGTTTGATAGAAATTATAAATCAAATGTATATGTATTTTACTTCTCACAATATGTTTACTTTGTTATTTATCATGTCTCTGCGAAAGATTCAGCATAAATAATACAAAATGAAAACAAAATGATAAATTAGAATGATGAACAATAATTCTGTTTTGTTTTAATAATAAAACTTGACATCGAAATGTGTTAATAAAACATATTAAGCGTATTTTGATGAATATTGACTTAATAGAATTATTCTAATGCAAGCTTTCTCGTAGAAATAGTCATTGACGTCAGTAAAACTGGTTTGATTTTACGAAAAAAACACTTCTATGATCAATTGTTGAAAACAAAGCATACAGAAGTCAGAAAAGCTCTATATCTACCCGTGAAGAAAAATTTTTCTACTGGATCAGCACGACCCTTTATCCTTATTGATTACAACTCTAGCCCATATCCACACACACCCACATCCATCAATAAGAGTTCTACTCAGTGTTCATAGGGAGCAAGTGTCGTGGAAGTAATTGTCTCTGTTTCAACAGTCATATTATCTTTCATTTTTGATCGAGTAATACTATTTTGTCAGCACTCATATCGAACTATCTTAGCAGTTAGTTATATTTCTTCGATATTTATTAGTAGATGAGCACATTTTCCTCTTGATATTTTTCCATTTGATTAGATTATTCGTTGTTGTTTTTGAAGAATTCGAAATTTTCATTGCGATTTGTTCAGTCCAACCAGATTTTCCTGCAAGTTCTCTTGAATCAATCAGATTTATGAGAAATAACATGAAACGACCTTGTTGACTAGAAAAACATTCAAAATCTGATCGGTGTATATCTAAGTAACAAATAATGTGATTGATCGAATCATCGGTCAGCAAAATCACGAAGAAGTCGATCTGTAACTCCGTTTCTGAAGATGTATTCTATTAGGATTGTGAATTAAAATGCCTTGCTTTTCATTTAGAACAAACAAAGCTCAAGAAATTAGTTGTAAATTGTTTGCTACAAATCGAAAGATTGCCGTACTTTTATTGCTAATCGTGATTTTCTCCAGTATTCTAATAAAATTCATTTGAAAAATATTTTTTCAAATGTATTCCGATATGCGTGCACAGAACCAAGAAATATTGATCGTCTGACTCACGTTTCTCATCGAATCTTTTTCTTATCGCTATCATTGGCTCATCTGGATATATTGGTTCACGTTTAGTCGATCATTTACGAACAGAGAAAAACTGGCACGTTATTGGTTACGATCGTATTTTTCCAGGACAAGCAAGTCAAGAAATATCAACTTAAGTTCTTCAAAAGTTCAAAGTAGTGATATACTTAGGTGGATTGACAAGCCATGCAATGTGTCGGGATCATCGGACTGAAGTAGAGCGAGAGAATATAGACGATATCTATGATCTAGCTAAGGGTATATTACCTTTCCAACTCTTAATACTTGCGTCTACATCTGCTATTGGCGAAGGTTCCGGATCAATGTCGATGGATGAAAACCACCCTATTCAATATCAGCTATTAGACTTATATAAAAAGTCTCTTCTTCATCGTGAAAAAGCACTGAGACATTTAGAATTTACTACTAATACTACTCCTGAAATGATCGGCTTACGGTTCGGTACCGTTGCCGGCCTTTCTTCAAACCAAAGAATTGAGCTTTCTCCTATGGCATTGGTTTGTCAAGCTTTTCTTGGCGGAAAAATAGAGGTCACCCATCCTGAATCGAATCGTGCTTATCTGTGCATGGAAGATCTCATGCGAGTTTTCACTACAATAATAAAGCATTCCAAACAAGCCAAACGATTCAATATATTTCACCTACAGTCTTGCTCAGCTAGTATATCTAATGTTGCTAATACGATTGCGTCTCTTACAGGAGCTCTCATCAACACATTGGATCATCTAATGAATGAGGACAGTCACGGATTCTCTTTAAATAATACGAAATTTCGCTCTACCTTTGATTTTGTTTTTAAAGCTAATTTGTATCAAGTTATCTCACGACTTATGAATGATGTGCTTCGAATGTGTCTTGGCCGACAATCATGTTTGAACAATGGTTCTGTTTCATGTGTAGTTTGACGATCACGTACGATGTATACAGTATTGAATTTACATGATCAACCTCTTGCTAATGATTTCAAAATGCATATAGAAGAATCCAAAAATTCTAAAAGATTCTCACTACGTTTAGTATGATGTTCTATCTGCCATCATACACAACTATCATATATTGTTGATCGAAAATATTTTTTCAGTCATTATATGTATCGAAGCGCTACAAGTGATAGTTTAAAGACTTACTTTTCATGATTAGCTGAGAAAACTATTAATGAAAGCGAAATCACCAATGAAACTGCTTGAAATCGCATGCAATGACGGTAGTCAGTTGAATGAGTTTCTTAAACGTGGATGGAAAACTGTAGGTATTGATCCAGCCAAGAATCTAGCCGATATTACAAGTGCATCGGGTCATACTGTTTACACTGGTTTCCGGGGTATTGAGACGTTTCCTAGTGTATCTTTGTTGAAGTCGGTGGATGTGATTATTGCACAAAATGTACTTGCTTATGTAGACACTCCAATACAGTTTCTTCATGCCTGTGCTGATATTATGAGTGTTCAAACTAAATTGTATATTGAGACATCTAAATGTGAAATGTAGGAAACTGGACAATTCGATACTGTCTATCATGAACATCTATCTTTTTTTACGGCACATTCTTTTCAAAAACTTGCCGATATAGTAGGACTAACCACTTCACGATTCGAAGTCACACTAATCCATGGAAACTCATGTTTGACTACATTACAACGAGTGGATTCGTCAAACATTACGTTTTTTTGCTTCGTATAAAACCGAACTGGCACCGTCTTTATTATTGACTTTGCAGAAAGAACGTAATCTTGGAATGACTGACCCATAGTTTTTACATCAAATATGAATTTTAAGCTAAAATCATGCGTCAATGAATCTCGCATCAACTAGCAACTATTCAAGCTCATTATCATACTATTATTGCGTATGGTGCTACTGCTAAAGGCATAGTTCTTTTACATTTCTTGTTAGAACTCTCAAATTAGTCATTGGAACATATCTTTTGTCGTTGATGATGCATCTTTGAAACAAAACACTTTTTGTTCTGGTATATATATATTCCAGTGCGTTCGATATCTGAATTAAGGAAACATAACTCAGTTAACCCATTAACTATTATTGTGTTTGCGTCGAGTTTTCGAGATGAAATTCTGACAAAAATTCGCAGTGAAACTGTTGAGAAAGGAATCAAGAATATTTTTATTATACTCCCATTTCCACATCAGCAACGTATAAAAATCAATCGAAATAGCAATGTAATACTTGCACAAACTTCTAATAAGCCATTACCTTGGCCGTTTGTCTTTCCATCGATACGTAGACCTGTACTACTGATTTCTCACTTTTTTCATGAAGAATTATTATTACCATTTTGGATTCGTCATCATTCATCTATGTTTGATATGGCTATTTTGATTGACTATAATAGTACTGATGAATCATTATAGATTATTCGTCGTGAAGCTTCAAAAAGTTGGAAAATAGTATCAACACGTAATTTACAATTTGTGACTGTTAGTCGATCATGAAGTCGTAGAATATGAAAAGATGCATCCAAACGCATGGAAAATTGCCTTGAATATACCTGAATTTCTTGCCCATTCTAATCTTCGTACAATGTTAGCTGAATAGAACAATATAGTAGTACGATGGCATTTCGTTATTGGCCATTGATTATGTCTGGAAATGATTCTATTCCACTAAAACGCTTTACTTCACTGCTAAAGCAACGTTTTCAATACACCTATAATCCGATCAATGTAAATGAAAAGTTTGGTATCACACCTTGTTCTCGATTCATACATTGCTATCTATGTGTTAAGTACGAAACAGGTCGACATATGATCAGTGATACCTTCTGGTAATGGGATCCTATTGGTTTCATTGTTAAATATCAGTATACACCTTGGCCTGGAATAATAAATCGCAAGCTTCAAATTCGTACACGTATACCTAAAAGTGATTTTGCACATGGTAGAGGTATTCATCATAATTTTAATCTTGCGCAACTACAAAAAGTCAAAGAAAAAATTCAATCATTGCCTCAGCATGATCTTCGTGATTTTACTGCCGTGAGCGAGAAAATAGCAATGTCCCATCGGTTCTGGAAAGAAATAATAGATCAATGAATGTTATAACAATTCAATGAAAAGCCATATTATGCATATATTCGAATCAGTACGCAGGAATCTACAACAGTGACATTAGTTCACCTCAACAAAACCAATATGGACACAATTAACTATTTGGATTTATTCTTTTAGTCGTCTAAAACTGGTGTAACTACATAGAACTTTACAACTCCTTCAGGTTCACAATGGAATTCATATTCGCCTTTGTTTGAGCCGATTTTTCCTAACGCATCGAACCTCCTTCAATGTCTCTTTTGTCATTTCACATCCGGTTATCAATAAGAAATAAAGCACTTTGATGTATACTCTTTGCCTATGTACAATAGAACATATCCCATTATTATATACTGCAACATTTGAGGTAGATAGTTGAGTTCTGATTGAATATAATTTTTGATTGAAAAAAGTATAGAACTGCGATTGTAACCACAGAAGGAGAAAAACGAACAGAGGTTGAACTACATATTTCAGATTTCTCTAAAACGTTTCTGACAATATTGAATCCTTCTTTTGCAAAGCCAGTTATATCGATTAAAGATCCTAAGAATTGTATAAAATTTACAATTTTAACCTAATGAAACCTACTCGTGGACACAATATCGACTTGATCGGCGCGTCACATTTGAAGACCTTCCGACATGAGTCATTTTGTTTATATGAACAATTTTCTAAAGGTCTCCACTGAACTAATAGGACAAATTTTCCGAAGAATTGTTGATCTTTTTCTCTAACTTTAGATAAAAATCTATCTTGTAGATCAATCTTTAAGGTTTAGAAAATGTAGGGATGTGAGTGGATGTAGATGAAGGGAAGGTGCACAGTCACACCCTTCACCATGGGCAAGCCAACAGAGGGCAATTGGAAACAATTCCCACATCCGAAAATGTTATTAGTGACATACACAAGGTACAAAATATGGATTTCTTTAATAATAATAAAATATTACAATCGATAGCCACACCTATTATGATGTATCCCACATCTCAATCTAACACATTGGCGTGCCTATGATTTTCGCGAATACAAATAATAGCGGTATTCATGATTGGCTTAATCGACTTGATATTCATAGTTACTTTTGGAAGTTGAATTTCGAAAAATGTTTTTCATAAAATTCCGAGCGAACTAGAGGGTCCAAGCTTCTCCAAGTCACTTCAAGGCAAATGGTTGTGCTAGATTTGTAGTTGATATCGACCTTATTATCGTTATATAGTTATTTCTTGAAAATATCTGTAGTCGAAAAGTAACATTAACGCCCATAGTCTTTTTCTAGGGATACAATGCTTCTTTTGTAACCTTGACAAATTCCTTGGGATTTTGGAAGATTTCAATACGCAATGTTCATATCATTTCAGACTGTGGTATTAAACCTAGTTCTGTTCCTTATAGTCTGATTACGTAAACCACTGTTATTACAATCTCAACATCGAGATAAATCCCTAGATCATAGTCTCGAATAAGCATCACCGAAGTTATACATTTCTTTTGCAAGAACATGAATCATACGATTTCATATAAAAGCAACTAGATTCAGGTCTGTGCTTTCTGAATTTCATGTTAATGATTAATTTAGTAGAAGTCCATAGCTCATATATACAAGTGTTGGCGAAAGATTTCAAAGTGTACTAATGGAATTATGTCCAATGAGAAAACAATTTCTACACTAGTGAATATGAGGAGAATGCACTTGAACGATCATGGAGTTTTGTATTTAACACCTTTTGTTGCTTTTAACTACGATCCCTATTCTCGAGAAATATTCGTACACCAAAAAGAAGAGAAAGCTGGTGGCGAAACCATACGATCTTCAATAGCTTCTCTTTGACTTTATTACAAAAGATCAAGGCAATCAATCCACGTTCAAAAAAGATAAAAGTCGTCTAGGCTTTGTCTGAAATTCGCTCAATATTTAAAATTACCCTACTTACACTACGAATCGAAGTGTTGACTCTTGCTTATTTTTATTCGTAAGTGAAATCTTGTAACCTCTACAAGTCAGCAACACACTTTAGTCGATCACTGAATAGTGATGACTTTCCTCTGTTGAGAAGACCAGGTGCTATTTGCTGATAAATGAATATCCCCGCATATTTGATCTGGGTACAAAAGTAGATCGGTTCGAAACAACGTATGCTTCGAAAAGTCTGAGTTTGGACGTTCTTGACGAATTGAAATATATTTTCTTCTTCTTTCTCTTCGTCTAATTCTTCGCCGACCATTAGTCGATCGTTTTCTGTGTCTTTCTCTTCTCCGTTACTATTTGATTAGTTTTCTTCTTCAATTCAGCTGGAACGGTCTACACTTCTTGATTTTTCGAGTGACTCTCGAATATGTCTAGAGAGTTTGTCAATATCCATCAATTCGTCCTTACGTAATATATCATGCAAGTGCAGGAAACATATGATTAGATGAGAGATATCGACATATGTACGTAGAATAGATGCTTCAATGAGCAAGACCGAGATTGCAGAAGTTCTGTCTGTAACAGATCAGCTATACGCAGCACTCTATTACTTATAATGGTAAAGAAACACCAGAGACGTATTAGTCACATTTTGAGAATAGATGCGTAAAAAGAAGAATATACATATTCATCCACCATCAAATACAAATACAGTTGAGTTCGATGTCCAACATATATTCAGCCTGAAAATATTGCTTTAAAAAACCTTTCAACAAGTCCATACTGCATTCATCTGTGATAAATACTGTGAAAATATTTAATTCATTTCTTTCCTATACATGAGATTGATTTTCCTGCAAGAAAAACTTGTCATTACTGGTATTTCATTTCACGATAATATTAAAGCATATTGGTGACAGCAAAAATTCTGACTCAACCATTTGCTTACTGATATATTGCTACCTTCGATTCAGTTGTGGACAACAATCTGATCGCTAGAAAAATGAATACTTTTAGCGGAAATCAAACGCTCAGCGCAAAACTGCTCCCCCACACAGCAAAAGTCAGACTCTACGGACATCGTACCCTACTAAAAATGAATTTCCATAGAAATAATGTTGTCTACAATAGGAAAAATGATATACGATTCAAGAAAAGTGTTCATCTTGTAGACAACATTATTCCTACGGAAATTTATTTTTAGTAGGGTTCGATGTGCGTACAGTCTGATTTGTGCTGTGTAGGAGAGCATTTTTGTGCTGAGCGTTTGATTTCCGTGAAAAATACTCATTTTTGTCAGCGATCGAAAAGTTGTCCAACCCTTCTTCGATTCTCAGTTGGAAAAATTTAGAAGAAAAGAGTCATTGTACAAAAGCAGATTTTCCAAAAACATAGAAACATTCTGCTTCTGTCAAAGTTACACACATTTATAAACTGTTCTAAAGTGGCTAACAAGCCTCAACCTTATTGCCTTACTGCATTAAATCAGCTGAAGATCCAATGGATCCAACGGCATTGTTTTTTTATTAAATTTCTGAATATTTGAAATAAGATATTCTTAATCACAATATCAAGCAAGCCAAGCATACGTGCACATGTCCTTATTGATCGTTCTGCAAAACTATAAATGAGCACACCCTACTACCATACAATACACTTGTCTTTTCGACTATTTCCTTGACCTGGTGTGCAACCAAATGCTCGATCGAATTCGTCGAAATTTGATGTTGGGACAATCACTCTAAAGATCGCAATCAATTCAACCATGAGAAAATTAGTGATGAGAAAAGATACCTGAGGTGACCCAATGAATGAACATCTGTCCGAAGTCGATTCAGTGCATAGGCATCAGTCATCTTGACACACCAATTATTAGCATAGTTGATAAAGAACAGTTGTTCCGAAGAATATTTTTGAAGACCGGGTAATCTTTTGTCAACATTCTTGTTGTTTGCTGTCCATTTTTGATAAGCCTGAAACGAAACATATTTTCTCAGATAATAGTATATAGTATCATGTAGGCAAGTAGCAAATTTATCCAATCATCTCATAAACATTGTATAATAGCTTAGGGCATGCATGCTAATAGCTCAAATATATTTACGAAAAACGCTTCTCTAAGACCACCATTGTCAGCAATATCTTCGCCTTGTGTTAGATTTCCATCTGCCTATTGAAAGGTGAAATGAAAGTAATTTATTAAATTCAACAAACGTAAGATGAAAAACTGACTTTCATATTGATTTGTGTCACTGTAAAATTGCTGTACTGATTGATAATGCATGTCTTGCGGTCATTAAACTTTTTGATTGTTTCATCTGTCCACCATGGAATTCGATTTCCATCTTTGTCGAACTGTCGACCAGTATCATCAAATCCATGTGTAACTTCGTGCCCAATGACAACCCCAATCCCTATAAATTAGTAATTGTGATAAGAGAATACGTGTAGCATTTCCAAATGAACATAAAATACAAATGAGCCAAATGTTTTTTAAACAAAATATTTGACTATTTTTTTCTGCTGAAATGTGAAAGCCGGCGGAAAAAAAAGGATTTTTCTTGCAATAAAATGTATAGAGGTCTTTACAGTGGATTAACAGTTTAAAGAAAAGCATTGATATCAATATACATTTTTGTAGAAAAAAAACTTTGATATTTTTTATTCCAGATAATAACATTTCTTCCCTTGTCTATACTACTCTCCGTTTCATTTGAAATCGGAAAAAAATTTCAAATGTTTTGTAGGAAAATTTTCGGCTCTCTTGCAACTTTATGCATGCAAACTTTAATGCTTACCACCATAATTGAGATACCTAGATGATAAATAAAATGGTTAAACCATTTACGAGATCATAAAGAGAAAATAGTTACTTGGGTGCATCTTTATTAAAGAAGGGTGTTTGTAAAATACCAGCCGGGAAACCTGAAGTATAAGAAAAATATTCATATATAGTATGAATGTAATATGAAAGATGAATGAACATACTAATTTGATTTTTTGATGGTTCATAAAAGGCATTTACAACACTGGGCGCAGAGTAGTCACCCCATCCTTTTCTGTCGACAGGTTTTCGCAATAGTTGAAAACTTTCCTTGGTCTTTATTTCAAGCATTTTGAGAACATTTCTAATGTAGGATGAGTTGAAGTTGTACTATATTAAAAGAAACATACGCTATGGAAGAGAAGTTGTCAAAACAATGCCTACAGGATTCAGAGCGATTTTACAGTTCGAATGAAGAAATCTCATACAACGTTTATAATAGTCCGTAGGGAAGTGAAAATGACAGGACCTCATATACTTAAGTATATATTTTAACACTCATCGCATTGCTTACCTCAGCATAATCTTCTTCGAGTTTTGTATTATTATCACTGCCCAAATATTCAGGATAACCGATATGCGGATCCATGACTTTGGCCTAAATATTCATAATTTCATACTAATCTTCATTGATTCTCTAGATTTACCTTCTCGATGGCCTTTTCTTTCGATTCAGCATCCATCCAAGTAGATTTATCAAGCATTTCGATGAATACATCTCGAATATTGTTTATCATTTCAAGAGACTTAAAAAAACTAACATATCAATAAAAACAACATACATTTGAACAAACCTCATTGAGAGCATTTTCATCGAAATATTTTTTGATGTAGAGCTTTGAGACAGCAAATCCCATATAAGCATTGACAAGACTGCCACATGCTACTTTACGTGGTCGTTCAGCATTCGTACCACGAAAAATTCGATCGAATCGTTGTCTGATCATTCGAATATGTTGAGGCATAAGCGAAGTTGCACCCATCATGAAACGCCAAAGAATATAGTTCTGTATGGTGCGTGGTGAAGCTTGCTTAAGAATCAATGAAACATTAGTCAAATACTCGAGTTCACCAACGGCTACAATGTCCGTATCTTGTAAAATCACATTACCAGATAAATAACAACGACGAAGATAATCGGTAAAGTCAAACTATATCAAGACAAGATAGTATAAAAAAGAAGACACTAGAGAAAAAGAAAAGTAAAACTAACTGTAGTATTGAACGTCGATGATAGTTTTCCGACTGTAGTTCGAACAGTTTCATTATAGCGTGCTCTTTGTTCGTCATTTGTCCAATGATACTGTGCAGAAGAAGTAAATTAAAATTATTGTGTGTATGTAAGAAAAAAGACATTGATTACCTTTGCAATATTCTTTTCAAACTCATATATATCAGTGACATCCTGATCAATCATTGATGTGTTACTTCCTAGTGCCATTGCCAATTCACGCATAAACTGTCGATAAGCAATTGTAATATTTGTCTCACTGGCATAGTATTGCCTTTGCCCTAGTGCAAGATCACTTTGTCCGACCTATAATTGTTAATAGGATCTGCATCTTTAGTGATATGAAAATATCATCAAATTTCTATGAACTAGACACTAAATTAATTCTCTAACGCACTGAATATGGGATTGGTATCAACAACTATTCTTGTTTAAGTTCAAGCCTAGACGACATATTCGATATTGTTGACAGAAAAAATTATCTCTATTAGAGTGTGCTGCTGAAAAGTTTATACAGGGAATTTCGACAATACATAACCAGAAGCTCTCCAACACTCAGGAAAGTTTGATTTCTTGTGAAAGGACCAGGAGACACACATAAGCCAATAAATTAGTTCATTGACTTTTCGTCGATAGATAGTTCTAAAAACTGTATTGATCGATAGATTTTAACATGGTGAACAGTTTTATTACTGCTTCAGACACAAATTTATAAGATTTCTTTTTAAAATTACTTTGCGCCTCATTTGTATACTATTTTTTTGCTTTGTTACAATATGCGTTTTTTAATACTACGACCCCATTTTATGTATATATGACTTACGTCATATGAAGTCACTTCACATTTTAGTAAATCTATCTCCGTATCAAGACTTTTCAATTTCGTTAAAAGTTGACAAGAATATCAATATAGATATTCGATAGTTTCTCAAACTATGAAGCATATATCATTTATATACGTTACATATTCACCTCGTATTCCAATAACGTCTTGAGAAAAGCAGAAAATCTGTTTATAATTTCTTTACTATAGTAAGATATAACCTAGTTCTTTAAAACGGCTCGAATGTGTCAAGTTCTCTAGACTGACCAATCTGGCAATCCCTACATCTGTAGCAAAATGACACAAAAATAACGCATAGATCTCGATCTACCGATCAGATAGGATTACTGAATTACATATTTTAGAAGTTTACAAATACCATTCTTTTATATAAAAGGCATTCATTTTTTTCAATTTTTTTCATTATTGTTTTTGGTATCATGATGGCCAACATGATAACTAGCGCTAGTTCATGTCGTGCGGCAGATCTAAGTATTCATGAGGTACACAGAAAAAAATCCTATACAGATGTTCTGGTCGATTATAGTTAAAGTGACTGACATAATGATCCCTGCTATTACATATCATTTTAGAAGTTTAAGTGTCCTTTATCACTACTACGAAGATCAAAGATAGGTATTCTTCCATTCTCAAAATATATTCCAAATAATCAAGGAAATGATTCGCAATTCATGCCATTTTATCTAGTTTCGACCATAGCAATAGTAGCCAGTATGATGATTCATACTATGTGGTGTTATTCTCTGAATCTATCTGTTTCCTAGCGATAATGGAGCAATCATGAGCAGATATTTGGCTTTGCTCCAGATATTATCGAGATACGAGGTACATATGAAACGTATATATGTGATAATTGCTTTATAGTTTGAGAAACTATCAAATATCTATACTGATATTCTTGTCAACTCTTAACAAAATTGAAATGTCCTGATGAGAAGATAGATTTACCATGGTTTGAAGTGATTTCATATGACATAAGTCATATGTATATATACACATATAGGACCGTGGTATAAAAAGTGAATACTGTAACGAAGCAGACAAACAGTGTACAAATGAGGCGTAAATTAACTTTAAGAAAGTCTTCTGAAGTCACACCAAAAGCAATAGCAATATGTTCGATATATTGAAATCTATCGAAGAAAAGTCATTGGACTAATTTCTGATTTTTCGTTCTTCCGATATTTGGAAATATATTTTTTGTTATAGACGCCTTTTGGAAACATAGATAGACACCAGAAATTTTCTATGAAGTTTCAGTTATGATCATCAAAATCGCCGGCTCAAGTATGTCAATCAATGCATAATATGACTCGATTGCCACTGGAATACTTCGACACTCCTACGTCTACATATATGTCAATTAGTCGTTAGACGTACTTCAATGTTGTGCATTGTGGAATTTTCTTCATTAACCGCTGTGTCAATTCGATAGATAGTATTACTATAATATTTTCGCAGTTGAAACAAGAGATTTGGCAGATCAAACTTTGCACTATTCCATGATGATCCTTGAAGTATGGGCCAGCCACCAAATTCCGTGTTGATCAATGAGAGAATAGTATCCACACCATTAGCCTCAACTTCGTCTTCATCTATGCACGAGTTGTAGAAGCGACGAGCATTGAGAACGGCTTTGGGTTCGTTGACATTATTTACAGGTGGTGACGATAGAAGATCTATGACATTAAAAGAAAAACAATTCTAATAAATCTCATTTATACATACCAATAACATTATAATCCAATTGGGTTCTTAACAAATTGAAAGTAGTCTGTGCACTGACTAGAACAAACAAGTAAATGAAAAAATTCAGTTAATATAACAGAGAAGTTAATTCCTACCATCATCTGGTATTCTTGTATTTTTAACCCATGTTCCACAGGCAAATTGAAAAAAATCTTCGCACGGTTCGACAGTTTCATCGATACTTTCAATCAGATAATTGGCTAGAAATTAGACGATCACATTTGATCGATTTTCTTAGAAAAAAAAACATATATACCTGCTTTGACACAATACGGAGTCAAGCATACATCTTAATCGAACAAAATCGTACAATCATAAGGTATAATTTTCAAACAAGGAAAAATACCGTTTGTAGTTGTTGTGGATGGTAAAGCTCTTTCTACTATTACTGCTGTTTTCCTGGTTTTTTCAACACCATAAAGTGTACTGAACACAATGGTACTAATGGCGAAGATTCCAACAAGAAATCCGAGCAGTTTGGCTTGTGTCATAAAGCGAAATCCGGTATTCGACAATCGACTATAATACAATAGATTTAACTTGCACTGCCGTCAGTGCAGCAAGCTAGAGGTTTTTTAGAAGAAATTTAGCCATGGCAAAAATATCTTTGACTGTATAAATGTTTTTCGTACCCTTTTTAGTAATTTTTTCCTAAAGGACTAAGGCTCCTGACTAGCTACATGTTGACATGTTCCTCTGTTTATGCTCTTAACAACTATTTCTTTTGTCAGCACATCGAAGTAAGAATAATACTTTTACATACCTTCTTATTTCCAAGAAAGACGAGTCTGTCATCTTCACAATTTGATACTTTTCACGTACGTTGACTTGCTTGAAAAATTTCAGCTAAAGACATTAGATGTTTTTTCAAGGTTTCCACGAAAATTCAATTAAGTACTAGCAAAAGAAATATTGGGGATACAGAATATGACTGTTTTCACGTATGTTCGTACAATATCTTCTATATCTACAGTATTTCCTATATATGCTATGTGTCCGGTGCTGATACTTAATTGAGTTTCCGGGGATACTCTTATAAGACATCACATATAAAGACACGAAAAGAGTTAATGGCTGTGTCTTGAGACATGTCAGAATACCGTTTAGACGACTTTTTTCGGACATTTTAGAAAAATGAACATACAGCCATTTAAAAGTTCTCTTCATAAAATTGGCTACTTCGATAAATAAGAAAGTCATACTCGCTTCGGCGTGTTACATTAGCAGAAGGATACTATTTCAGGGAGCAATATATGGCTCCTCTCATTCAGAGTACATAAGTACTTTCAAAGAAAGGATGAATGAGATTGCAAAAGACTATTATTATTTTAATTGGCCAAAATTTCTTTATATGCGAGAAATATTTCCTAACTGTCGCAACATTCAAAAGTCTGATCTCTAGTAGTATTAAAACGAAGAAATGGAAAAAGGTGAGAACGGCCTATCCTGCTGAGTTATTGTAACAAGCTCAAGCATTTGAGAGTAGGGGTGGTCCTTTTATCTTAAATTAATATTAAGTATGAAGTTTTCACTTATCACTTAATATTAAGAAATTAAGTTTTCACTTAACTCTTAATTTCTTAATATTAAGTGTTAAGTGAAAACTTAATTCACTTAAAATTAAGTGATTAGGTGGTTGATATGAAGAAGACCCTATTTTTTCGAAAAATATTTTTTTTCGAAAGAAATTTTTTTTATTGCAGAAACAGACTTTTTTCGGAAAAAATAATTTTTCGAAAAAACCCCAAAATTTTGTTGTAAAACAATTTTTTTTCTCAAAAAGTCGGTTTCTGCATTAAAAAAAATTATTTTTGAAAAATTTTTTACAACAAAATTTTGGGGTGTTTTCGAAAAATTATTTTTTCCGAAAAAAGTCTGTTTCTGCAATAAAAAATAGGACTTGAGAACCATATTGTCTTAATTCAACTTAATTAAACTAAGTTATTAAGTGATTTTACTTAACATTTAATATTAAGTATTAAGTGATAAGTGAAAACTTAATTCTTGATATTAAGTATTGTTTTCACTTAACGCTTAATATTAAGAAATTAAGTGTTAAGCGAAAACTTAATTTCTTAATATTAAGCGTTAACTAAAATCACTTAATAAGTTAACTTAATTAAGTCGAATTAAAAACAAAGGCCCGCCCCTATTTGAGAGTAGGTCGATGGTTGGTTGAATTCGGCTAAAGAGAAGCCTCATACGTTCACTTATTCGATCATATGAAAATATCGAAGAAAAGATCAAGATATCACTAAGAGACACTATTACTCTTACTCTTGCATAATCATTTTCAGTTCAATGCCTAATAGTGTTCAATAATACATTGATGTAAAAGTGAAATATTAGAACAACAGCACAAATAAACAAGAAACCAAAGTTCATTTTGCTCTAGCTGTCAAGGATGCGGAGATTGTGTGAATCTTTCCCAAGATCGACATTTCCAATTGTATCGCATACCATAATTGAATAAAAACGGTAGGCTTACCGACAATTGAAAAGCTGTATATATTTGAATGGGATAAGTAAAACTAACTTTTCTCATCGACGACATAAAATTGGCTAGTCATTGTTGCAGAGATCGATAGAGGGCATTGAACTCTACAAACGGAAAGAATATCTATCTAGCAGTCACTAACCAACTTGAGTTCCGTTAGAAATAATAGTATATAAGGAAGAAAAGCCTTCGAAATTTATTCAGTAGCTCCCAACAAGGTAACTAGATATGTAGGAGAAGAGTGTGGGACAACTGAATATGTGTATAGTAAAAAGCTTGGAAGTTTAGACTCAGTTTCGAATAACTTCATAAGTAAAAGAGACATGTTGCGAAAAAACATCTGCTACTAATAATGTACATGATGTTCCCATCTACAATCATAGAAGGATCTCCTAACTATTGTCATTATCTAGAAACGGCACGAGTATGAATAATATGAAGTTTTCTCTTCTCAAAAAAAAAAAAGGTTTATGAAATTTCGAACGAGTTATTCAATGTATGCTAAGATTATGGGGTAAATGAATGTCGAAAATTCAAGCCAACAAGGTATCTTCTCAATATATATGTCGGAGTAACATTTTACTTTTACTTCACTAATCCATATGGTGATCAGTATTTACTAGTGAATATCAAAGCAGTTTATTTGCTTTGTTTTATGTGATCTGAGTGATCCTTGTGCAAATATAATACAACTCGTCAAAAGATATTGTTGCTTGCTGTCATTGAAATCAAATTTTTAGAAGAAATAAGTTTTTTATTAATAATTAGTGAATCAAATGAATGAATTTCAATCGTGTAACAAACCTAAATATTTTTGAAATACTAAACTATCACTATTGCAGTTTGGATTGCTTTTTGTGTTACTGATCTTGACATGCCCAAATAAAGCAACCTAGGTAAGAGTATTTCTATTGATGATTCGTGTTTGAAGTGATTTTTTGTATGTATGGAGGCTTTATGGAGATTAGCATATTCCTAAAAAGAGGTGGGTATATATGCGTTTCGCGCTGAATTTTGATGTTCACATGTTTTCTAATGTTGATGCTCTGGTTCATATTGAGACAGTACTCGGATAGTGGTTTTGTTTATAACAGTAAAAACTGAGAGACGAAGGTTTCTGTAACTTGAACTTTATCTATGAAACATAGGTTGCAAAAAAATTAATTTCTCAATTCCTACCTGTTGTAGAGAGGCTAGCATCCGAATAATATACTAATAGGATAAACAGTGTCAGTAGTAGAAAAAATATGAACATCATAGTTCAGCATGAAACACACAGATACCTACTACATCATCTTACTATACATCCACACTGCCACTTCAAACGCGATACTTTGGCTGGAAATGTTTCCTCATAAGGTTTATGGGTGTGGGACTACAAATTTTTAGTTTCCATTTCAATCATGGCTGATCTCTCCTCATATTATTGCTCCATGATTTGTTTTCGTTTCTGGTTTTATAGATCTTCTTTGATCATCAGAAATCTATGGATTGTAATGTATGCGCCAAGTCCTGAGTGCCCAGAATTAGTTTTATTAGATTGTTGTCATGATAGATCCTTACAATCTCACACGAAAATTTTGAGAAATCAACTTCGAAAATGGGAGTGTGTGCACTCATAGATAGACTTCACTGCACTGTTTGTGTGCATTCATTTTGATTTATCTATGAAAAGGAACAACACGATGCGAATGGTACTTTGATGTATACATTTTAGGATTTAAAAGGATATTTTTGTACAAATCAAACAAATATCATAATACCATATTACTGAATGTGCAATAAAACTAATTAGAATATGCAAATGACTACTATCCATGGATCTTATTCACATAGTTCTAATGAGATATATCGATAAACGGACATACACTCTGTTTTGATCTTGGACGAAAACCAAAAAACTGATAATAGTATAACGGTATAACTTGGTATCTTGAAAAAGAATATAAAGAATGTATCACTGGTATGACCTGAGAAGGATGCTAAATAAAAATACTGTAAACCTTTTGACATATCTAATATGCATATAAATACTTCGAACTTGAACTAAACCACAATACGTGTCACACGAGCCCGATAGAATGAATGATGTTTTTAGGCTGGATCTATACATAGGTTCTCCTAGTTACATGAAAAATCATCATATTTCTCCTATATATGCAATTTCTAGAGCATTCTTATGTTTCTTAAGATAGAGCATCCCAATGTTTCGACTGATTATCTTTATTTTTATTGTTCAGATGTGAGCCAATAGTCTAGTCTCAGTATGCTGTTTTTTCAGCGGCTAACTTTATTAATATCCGATTGAATGCGTTACCAGCAATGAATGTCTATCATTTGCCACAAATCAGGTTCCCTGAATTCATCCCTAAATGAAATCCACATTGTGGATAATTATTCAATTAACGTATAGACTGGTGACCAAATAAAGATTTTAATTTAGGGATTTTTTTTCATATAGTACGTGCAAGTCATAACGTAATTCTATATCGTCTTACTTCAACCGTACTAGAAAACTTGACCTATGAAAACCAGGGGCCTCAGCGAAGATTTTTCTATCTGTGAAACTACTCTGGTCACTAGAATTGTGTTATATTCAGTTTCTGTACTCGCTTGCATATTACATTTAAATTCATTTTTCTTCTCCTGTTTCTAGTAGAGAATGAGTATAACATAATTCTGGAGACCAGAATAGATCTACAGACAGAAGAATGTTTGTTAAAGTATCATGAAAACTAGATACTTCAGCGAAGATTTTTCTNAAACGATAAGTAGTTTCTGCATATTTAAATTTCTCATAATATTGAACACTTCGAAGACTTCTTTTTGTTTTTTTGTGCATGTGCTTTCCGAGAGAGTTAACTATCAAATGAAAGAAGCTTTATATGACGCAAACTATAAATATTATATTCATAAAATTGATATATGTGAAAAAACATACTTAGTTTTTTTAAAGAATATTAACACTGTTAATTAGAATTATGCACAGAGAATGGGTACTGGTCACTATTATATTTATAAATAATACAATAGCACAAATAAAATATTCATATATTTCATTACGGTAAAAATAAAAGTTTTTTTCTTGAAACCAATATGTCACGAAAGGGTAATAGTTCAATTTCTTCAACCTTTAAATTTTTATATAATTTTCTTTTTCCTTAGATTACTGTAACTTGATGAGCTCTATATATATATAACAGAAATGCACCTCATTACCTCTGATGAGCATAATTTAATTTTTCCTATGGTATCCATTTATAGTAACTTAAGTCGCTGTCGATTACAGCTCAGTAATATTTAGTATCCTTATACTACACAATTCTGCGCCTATATCAAAGATGGTTACTAAAAGTATGTTTTGACTAGCATTCATTTTTCTGAAAAAATCTCTTTTTATAAGTAAACTAATATTGCTCATTGTATTATTCATTTCATTCATTAGAAACAGAATGTTGCAGTTACATGAGTACCTATTTTAATTAAAAAATATTTGTAACTTCAACGGAAATGAATGAATATTAGTTCAATTGAATGAACTAGAACTGTTAAATGCCTAATTATTGTTTATCAATGATTGTGATAGAAAAGATAAAGAAAAATTTTTTCCTAGCGAAATAATAACTCATGAAAATTCAAGGATAAATGTTTTAGTTAAATTCTGGAATCAAGATGAATATTTTATCTCATTCAATTTTAATATGAAATGTCATACTCAGATAAACACAACAAAAATCTCAAGGCTTTTTTTTATTTTCTCGATTAAAGAAAAAAACAATATCATAAACTTCTCAAGAACGAAAAACACAAAACACTCAGTTCACTAAATGATCAAATTTAAGAATCATCGGCTGATTGATATGGGCACCTAAGGAATAAACAAAGACTCAAATGCAATTCAGTATAAATTTTCAAATCATACCAAAAGAAAAGCAATTTCCACCGCCTCCTAATATCAGAAATGTTGTTTTATTGAAAAGCACTGTTTGATGATTATAAAGTATGATTGGTTGTTCACCACACATTGTCTAAACAATGACGAAAAAAACACAAATATCAATTTGCGTAGTTGAATTTTTGTATTACCGGTATTATATACTCGATAACTTCACCAGTAATTAAATTAATTTTACATAAACCTGGTGGTCTACGTTCATTAGCATTCATTCCACCTAATAGCCAAAGTGTATCATCAATAATGTCTGCACTATGTGAATATCTTAAGAATAAAAAATAAAATAAATTAAACACATTTAAAACAATTGATCATTTTCACCTTGGTATAACTCTTCCATTTGTTTGAAACAATGTCCAATTCATAATATCTTTGGATGTATCTAATAACCAAATTTCATTCGTTGGTTCATCATTTTCTAATATACCACCAGAAAGAACAGCCATATGTTTATAAGCATTGAAACAAGCTGAATGTCGATTTGTTGGTCTTGTTTGTGAAAACTAAACAAAATGTTTAATATAGAAAATTTCTATTAGAAAGAAAAGAAACTACTTGGGATGGTATCAGTTGACCATTCGATTGTAAACAAAGTGTATCATTTGTTGATTTTGACATACTTATGTAACCACCAAATATTATTATTTTATTTGTTTCTTTTATATAACAAGAACAATGACGCCATCGTCGAAGTATTTTTTCATCTTCATTGAAATTTGTCACTTGAAGAGCTAATAAAAAACAACAAATTCCAATGTAGTTTTGAAAAACAGAATATTTATGATACGACTTACTATTAATATCAATTGAGGCACATGCATTTAACGTTCCGGGACTTTTACGACCGAAAAATGATAATATTAAATTATCTGATCTATGACATGTATGAAAAACGTATTCACCTATAATTTATGAAAAAATATAATTAGATTATTTAATCTTTTGATGATCAATTGAACATAAAATATTATTGATCTGTTTCTCATAAACTTTAACCATGAAATAAATGCAAATTCAATTATTTTTATTAGTGTTTAGAATCCAATTTTTTATTGATGATATTTCCGAGAAACATAACTGACGAGGAAAGTATTGCAACTGATGAGGTCATGGAAAATCTCAAATTGTTGCTACCTTTTGCTAAATCTCTGACTGTTAGCATCTGGTTTTTGACAACAACAGCGTTTGATAAAAAGCAGGAAAGCAGAAATCATTGATTTATAAGCATAATTGAAAAAAGTCAACAGAAAAGCAGAGGTCAGACACTTACTGGTATGCATAAGTGAAAGTCATCAATAGAAAAGCAGAGGTCAGAGATAAAAGTCGAGAAATATTATTTCGCTAGTGCATGTACTTGCTTGGCTACGATGACAGTGAATGTTTGTTTCATTCCCAATAACATGCTCTTACGATTATCATCAGCCTTAGTGTCACTTTCACCCTCGTACGAATCCTTATCCTCAGGCTCAGGCTCTACCTCACAGACATTCATACCTTTACCCTGATTCTTGTTATCACCTTACCCTCACTTTAAGCTTCAGCCTCGCTCACATCCACTGAAAATGATTCTTCTTCCTATTTTATAGTAAATATAACATTTCTATTAGATCTCCGCGTGGGATGGGATACCAGGTCGAGGCGAATGAATAAAAAATGCGTTGACTAATATTATTATAATAAAATTTCGATAAGAACTGTTTGTTATCATATATAATAATAACTTTAGAACATATTGTCTTCGATATATATTCTCCTTTTGCTCTTCTCTCATGCCCACTCTTGAATTCAAGTGGATTAGATTGACATTCAATAACAGACGACGATGAATCTTCGGAAGATATTTTATCAATTATTACTAAAATCTCAATCGATTCATTGCTTTTAACTATTACAATAGACACAATTGTGTCTTTTGTTTATTTCCATGCCGTCAGAATCGATTTCGTTTTGATGATTAATCGTGATTAACGGACGATTTTGCAACAAACTTCAACAGTAAGTATTTATTTATAATTTTTTTTTCGCTTAGTTAGATTAATCTTAACATTAACATGAACAGTAAGGATTTGTTGATAAAAATTATAGGTTTTTTTCTTTGATGTAAGTCTATCTCAAGATTAAAATGAACAGTACATATTATTGTATTAAACAAAGTATTGTTTTTTATTATTTAAGACACATGGAGAGAGAACAAAATTATCTTTCTCTTCATTCATGAGAAACTTTTATGAGTACAATGATAAAAGACAGTAGTTTTCTTAGAGTTGAACTTTACGACTAGACTCGATCATTGCAATTGTCGTACGAAAGATCGTTATTTTCTGTAAAAAAGCAGAGAAAAATCGCCAATTTTTTTCGTGATTTCGATCACATAAGTTTATCCATTCGTTATTATTCATTTTACTGTGCACTAATGGTTACAATACAGAATAGCTTACAGAACAGAAGAAAATTTTATTTATGCTAACTATACTGAAATAGACAAAAACACCGTCTATCTGAAAAAATTTTAATATCTTTCCTCATGAAAAATGTTTATATAAGTAGCTGTTTGTTTCATGGGACAATAATCTTTTGATAAACGTTCCAAGGGACGGGATAATTTTCAAAAGTTTCTGTCTCATCTAATGTGGAATCGAGAGGGCGGCGCTTCTCCAAAGATTGGGTTGGTCACTTCGGTACTGGTAGTTCTTATGCTCCATACTATATGTCTGTACTTCCAATAATAGGTGTTCGCCTCCTTCTATCATGTAACTTTTTGCTTTAGTTCTTGTTTATTATTCTTACCAAGTAAGTGATTATCTAATCTTTGAATATCTCCGTTATCAATATTTAATACTTCAATAGTTTTTAATCTTCTATGTCTTCCATCTACAGTTCCAAAACCTCCAATAGTCCAAACATATTTCTCATCAATTAATATTGATTGATGTCCAAAACGTTGTGCATAAGTCATAGTTGTTGGATAAATTTCAAATTGAATATTAGGTTTAACTTGTTCATCATTTAAACTACAACTATTATTATTATTATTATTTAAATTTTCTTTTTTTGAATAAATAATTGATGTAAAATCTTGATTCATTTGTTCAAACCATTGTTTTGATATATTTGATGGTGTTCTTAAACCAAATAAAAGTATATAATGAGCACATTTTGATTGCCATTCTTCAATTTCATCAAATGGTTCTAATTTGTCAATACGATTATGTTCATCAGTTGATAAATAATTTCGATAAAAATTATGCATATTGACACAGAGTGAAAAATCAAAACCCTAAAATATGAAAAATTTATTTTAATAATATTTTCTTTTTTTGTTATTCATTTTACTAAGTATGTATAACGTTGCACTTGAGATTCACTTGTTGGATATTGATGAATACATTTCAATGGTGAACCTAATTTAGCAAAATGTGCAACCATAACTTGACCAAAGCCATCATCTGGTAAAATCTATAAATTAATATTCAATTAGATTGAAAAAGAAAATATTTATTTAAAAATAAAAACCAATTACTTGTTCATAAGTACATAAAATACATTCTTGAAAAAAATCAAGTATCCACTGTATAACACGATTACAACTTGATCGACCCATGTATGTTAAAACAACTTCACTTATTAATAAAGTTGGTTTTGTTTCATCAACTTTAACTGTTTGTAAAAGTGTATTTAGAGTTAAAGAATCTCGCATATCAACACCGATTAACGAGTATTTTTCATTTGTTACAGCTGAAAAAAAAGGAAAAGTTGTTACAGTAGTCCGGACGAAATAAAAATATGGAACATGATGTAGTTACTCTTTATAATCACAAGAGAATTATTTTATTCTGTCTATTCTACGAGACTTTTCTTCATCACTCTTTTATTTAATCTTCCAGAAATATACTTAGGAATGCACCAAACCCAATTCCAGTAAATTCTAAGGATTAGTTGTCACTTAAATTGAATTTGGTGCATCCGTAATGCAATTAGGAAATTTTTCATATACGGTCTTTGATTCAATATGAATAAGGTCTATCACAGTTTATGACAGAGAGAAGTAGAATTCGTCGGGTTCACAATTGTCGGTCCCGGACTCGATCGAACTGTACTTTGATACTCTGAATGGAACTTGCAAATCTGCATTGAATAGTTCTCTGGAAGATACGAGATGCTTCTTGTTTTTGGTACTCTGCATTCAGTGACTAGAGTCCATAGGGTTCAAGCTTTTCGAACCCGGACTTGACGAGCTTTAGAAAGTGAACCACTGTCAAGTTATCTACCATGGTTTGTGGCGTTTCCATGGGAATGTCTGTCATGGTCTGTGGAGATGCAAATTTCCACCCAATCACTTCAACAATCGCTCTAGATCATGCTTCACAAAAAAGAATTTATTAAATATGACTTTTTTTTTACTTACCGAAATTTTCTAATGAACTATATGTATGAATTGGTTCAAATTGTTCATTTAAACGAGAACGAACTTCTATTAATGCTAATTTACGTTGCATGACTTCTGGGAAATCGATCTAGATATAGAAAATTTAGTAAACATTTTTATATTAAATGTATTTACGTCAATAAAATGTGTTCGTTGTTTTCGTTCATCATCTAATCGAAACCAAGTTGCATCAAATCCAGCACCTAAATTAACAATCTACATCGAAAAATATGAGTACAGACGAACAATTTAAGTTTTTATAATGTTTGTCAAAAATTGAGAAGATTCATTTCACTTTCTAATAAATTTTAATATTGTATACCAAAGGAACGGTAGTAATGAGCAATTTGACAAAATATTCGCTGATTTTTCAGCCTGTTAAAGATACCTGGAGGCATTTCAAAACATTGAGTTAGAATCAGAATTTTGTATTCTTTCCGAATATGGCTTCAATTTTTTTGTAGAACTTCTGGTTTAAGAGTTATGAGTCGGCTTTTTTTTTGAGGCCCGCAAATTGAGTTTGGACGAGCTTCAGCGGGCCGAAACTAACTCAAAGTAGAAGCGAAAATTATTTCAAATACAATGAATGAAAGAGTAAACAGTTCTCTATAAAAAAAAGTGTACTAATGAATAGTTTGCTGCAAGTCATTTGTCAATATTGTGTATTTTTAGTAAACTACACCATGCCAATTTAAGCATTTTTTTCAAAAATGGACTTGCAAAGTGAGCTCGATTATTCATACATGATTGTCCTAAAATTCTTAATTCTCGTATCATTTCATGGAGAGTAATCCGTGGCTTTAATTCTATGCAAAAATAAATCTCTCATATAACGGATGCAGTAAATGAAGGCTATTGCTACAAAAAGCTTCAATGTTCGTGACTCTAAAAATTAGACTTATAACTCTAAAACCGTATATCCTAGAGAAATGTTGGATCTATATTTGGAAACTATTAATGTTTTCAAATACTTGTACTCTCCTTTAAGAGGCTGAAAAATGAATAAACATTTCATCAAATTACTCTTGCGATAAGCCGTTCTGTAAATTTTTTTTATTCTATAGAAAAAATTTTTTACGAAATATTTCCATTTCGTATATGTGAATATTTCTATGAAATAGATCAAAATGAAATTGAGTCGATACAAAATTGCATTGTCTATTAAACAGTAAACCAACATTCAAAGATTATCAGACTACGGAAAATGTAGAGAAAACTTTTATCTCACAATGAAAGGTTTTATACTGTTAGAAAAGAATATTAGAAATGTTCAGGTCAAATTAAACTTCTCACCGCTAAACTAACAAATTTTTAATATGAGTTGCTTATGACATTCACCGAGCGTGATAATAAAGTTTTTAGATATTTATAGTATATGCAAAACACCCATAAGTAGTGGCGTAACCAAGGTTGGATTAGGTCGAGTGACGCCCTACTATCAGATAACAAAAAATCGTAATACTTACCATTATTGATACTATATTGCATGGGTTTTCGTCGAGATTGTAGAACATATTGTTCTATCATTCACGATTTTCTATTTACGTCACGACCTACAAGTCAAAATGTTAACACTGTTTATTTTGCTTTTTATGAAAAGTTATTAATTTTTTTTAAAAGTTTTTACACATTTCTTCTCGTGCAACTCGGAGAACTTTATATAATTATCATGATAGAATTAATATCAGTAGTGTTAAAATTTTGAGTGGTGAGTAGTAACGTGGCCAGAAATTTATGGATGGTAGAGCAGACCCTACGATCTAGAGGCTAACCTATCCTTGGCTACGCCACTACTTATAGGCATCTTACATATACTGTAAATAGCTAAAAACTACATGATTTCACTCGATACACGTCATGAGCAGTTCGTATTTTAAATGTGTTAATTTGACTTGAATACCATCATGTTCTTTACTAAATGTGCAAAATCTTCTATTGTTAGTGATGAATAATTAACACTTTCATGGACTATTTCATTTCAATACATTACTCTAATCAAAGAATTTCTTTTGAATGTCAACAATATCTGTTAACAAACGACATATGGTTCTATTCACTTGAGAAGATATATCAATGAAGAAAAAGTGCAAAAGAATGTTTGATGATTCTTCCTGAAAAATTATTATTGGTTTATTTTCAAAAATTTACCTGTACTTCTTTCTGATCATAAACTGTATAAAACATATTTAAAGCATATTCTAATGCTTTCATTCTAATATAATAACCCCTAAAAATTAAAAATAAGTTGAAACAAAACAAAAAAGCAACATCTTCATTACAAACCGATTTATTGATGGGGAACGTCTTACATCTTTATCAACAAATTCTCGAAGAAATAAATCATTAAAATATCCAAGTTTAACCATTGATACTTTCGATAAAATACTCGAGTCATTGGTACCTTGAACCTTGAAAAAAAGAATAATATTAGACTTTGTATTCGCCGATTTTTATAAATGTGCGACATATGTTAAAAAAAATCAATTAAAACAAGACTTACAGCTACATCATTTCTTGCTTTTCGGCTTTTTCTTTGATTAATACGAAAAGCTTCTTCCATCTAGAAAAACGAGAAAGAAAACAAAAAATCCAAATACACTGGACGACAATAATGATGAAAAGAAAACAATCGAATAAGAGAGTAACACACTGCACAAACGAAACATTAATGTGTTCTTTTTAAACAAGAATAATAAATAAAAAAGACAAAGAACATATATGTTTCATTCTATATGTACGCCCTAAATAATAATAATAATAATAATAAAATAAAACCTAATTTAGACTAGAGTGTCAATATATAGATATATATATATAATATGAATATGTTGTTGAAGTTAAATCCAAGTAAATACCAATGTTTTATTGTATTCACTCATACTTTTTGACGTTTTCGATGTACAACAGAAGCTGTTGTTGAATCAACAGACTTATCACTTTCAATAATACGTATACGAACTAATGCAATTTCTTGTCCATTCATTGTTTCCATAGCAGTATCAGCACTACGTTCATCACTGAACATAACATAACATAATTGTGGATTTATCGTACGAACATCTATTAAATTTCCAAATCGATTAAATATATCACGAATAAAATCTTCAGATATAGGACGTTGAGGTATAATGTGTAAAGTTTTAGCAACCTAAGATAAACATTTTGTTTTTTAGTATTTCTATATTTAAAAAATGCGATGAAATGTATGATTAGAAAGATCATAGAAAAAGTTCTTATCTGATTTTTTTATCTAATTTGATTATCGATTAAATCGATTATTCATCTATCCTGAAAATAACTTTCAGAGATGATCTAAGGTGATAACTAATTCTATCACTTGATTGATCTTTTTTGTTTGAAACTTACGATTAGTCACTTTTCAGTTGAGACTATGCATCATGTAAATCCTAATGAACTATGAATATTCTGACAAGAAAAAGTTTACGACCCTTACGTTTTTGTTGTGGAAATATCACATTTTGATAGCGTTTTTTGAAATAAATTCCGTAGTCTCCCTAAGGAATATTTCCATTTAAAAATTCGTACAGAGATAGATATTAACGAGAATAGTTTATAATGCAAGTTTTAGATCTTGTGATTTGCTCCTATCCTGAAATAAGACATCAAATCAGTCGGTGTCTAGGAGCAGTATAAGAGATAAGCTTTTATCAAAGCTGTATCTTAGAATAGGAACAACGAAATGATCTGAAACTTTCGTAGTAAACTATTCTCATTTAGTTATGTTTCTAAGAAAAGTTTCAACTCTAAATATGAAAATGAGTTTTACCAGTGTTCCTGAAGGTCACTATGACATCGAGTTAAAAAATACTGTTTTGTTGCTGTATTTCTGCAGCAATAAGCTAAGAATCTACTGTCTATTCAGAATATTCATAGCTGATTAAGATCTACATGAAGCACATAGTTCGATTCCAAAGCAATCGATCAGTTCGAAGGTTGCCCTCATTAGAAAAATTATCAGGGAATTTTGTTTTGAAATATAATTTAAATTCACGATGTGGCCAATTCATATGATTGTCTGTTGAATAATTTTCACTAGCAAGAAGATAGAAATTTGCGATTTTCTATCATTCAAAATAGTCCATTAGGGTCACAGGAGCGTGCCAGATTTGATTGGTTTATGAATATTAACCAATCACATGAAATATTCATAGATATTTTGACCTCAAATATTTTCAACTCATTATTCATTCAATTTTCGGTTTTGACATGATCGTTCGGTAGAAAAAATTGTGCTCATTCAATCAACGTAAAACCGACATATTTATCTTGTTTGATTCAAGAGCTATAAAAGTTTTTCTGAGAACCCTGATTTCGATCAAATGATCTGCGATTACCCAAATTGACGATGAGTCTAGTAGTGATGTTGGATTGTGATTTCAACGTGATTTGAAAGCACTATCGAGATTTTTCAAATTCCAAATTTTCCGAAGATATATGGCATAAGCCGTGAATATTTCGAAAATTTTGATATACTGGTTTCAAGTCACCTTGAAACCAAAAACAAATATCAACACTAGACTCAGGATGATAAGCTATTCCTTTTCAGACTATTGTTTCGAATGGTTCTAGATCAAGTGACCGAAATCAAAGATCTTAGAAAAACTTTTAAAACTCGTAAACGAAGCAAGATAGTGATGCCAGCTTTGCGTGGATGGAGTGAGCACCATTTTTCTATGGAATAGTTATGTAAAAATTGAAAACCAAATGAAGAATATGTTCCGAATATTTCATGTTAAAATATCTATGAAGATTTCATCGAATTGATCTATCGCTAAACCAATCAACTTCGACATACTTCTATGGTTTCCCAATGTCCTCTTTTAAATGGTAACAAACCGCAGTTCTCTATCTTCTTCCTAGCAAAAATTATTCGAAAAATATGCATGATTATTATACTATTGGACAGACAACTACTCTATACAGTTTAGAGTAGTAGAGTAGACACCTCTCTAATGTGAACATCTCTTTGTTTTATGTAGCAAATACTTTTTTTCAGGGTTTTTGCTGTTACAACTCTACTGTCAACATGTTTTTTTGTCCTGTTTTCTGTTTCTGTCACCTATTTTGTACGCTGTATGAATACGTACATTTTGTGTCTTATTCAACTGCTTTACGTCCAAAGTACAGAATAATGTCACGATACGAACTTACTTTGCAAGAAAAAATAGTATTAGTTAATGATAAAACAGATGGTTATGATTTATCACAAGAGAAATTGACTGAAAAATATAATATATCACTCAGTTCTGTATCAAATATTTCAATGATTATGAAACAAATCAGAATTAAAGTACTCGACGAAAAGTACGAGATGCCATTGCACAAAAACTAGGGTTCAAGTGCACCAATAATTTGTACAGCAAGGTACAGAAAATAATTAGTTGAAAAACAAAACAGGTAAGCAACATTAGAGAATTCTGTTTTACAAGCAATTAAATTTTTATGTTATACTTGACAAATCTTTCAATCAAATCATTCAGATGAAAATCAAATAAATAAATCAGGCTTATATCTATGACTAATATGGAAGCAGATTTTCTCGAACCTTCTCTTCATTTCACAGCAAACCATGCTTCAACTCTCTAAAGTGAACACTTTAGAATGGCTTTGAATGTGTTCACAATAGTGAGGTTTTACTATATACCAATGTGATCGTAACTCAATTCGATATATAACAGTTCTTTTATGACGATCCTTTCTCAATGAACTAAAAAAGATTCATTTATTTTTAATAAATGAAAATAAAAAAATTCCATAGTCTAAAATAGTTCATAAAATACAAAAATTAAAGACCAGTAATACATTTCATTCTCAAGATTGTCGAATCTAATTGTTTAGAAATGATGATTTTATATTAGCTTACTGGTGCATCAAATGAAGCATATTTTTGTTTCGGTGGTAATGGAACATTACAATAATCTACATATTCTTCTTGACTTCCTTGCAAATTGCTCATCTTAAAAGAAAATTAATATATTTTTAAACAAAAAAAAATGACTTAGAAAAATACTTGATGAATTAATTGACCAATTCCTGATGTATCTCCATATTTTCCATTTTGTGATTGATTTATAAGATCATTAACAATTCTAAAATTCATTAAGAAAACAAATAACTAAATAATTCGATAGATAATTTGTTTTGTTTTTACTTTTCATCATAATACTGTACTGATAAAATTTCACCATCGGGAAACTGAAATGCATGCAGTTTTTCACGTGCATATGTTGCGAATTGGCAAGATTTATAACGTACAATAAAATAATCTAGAAAGAAAAATAATATAAATATTTTCATTTTTCGCTCGATCCTATTCAGACTATTCAAAGCCTTACAGGACTTATACCCAGGGATCTTTCTTTTTCAGTTAAGCCTATTTTAGTGACTTTTTTTTAACGAAAAGCTGTGGTCCTTCTCAGTCCATCTTAGACAAATGAGTTTTGAGTTACGTATAAAAGAATTTTCAATATTGGCGTTTGACAATAGGAGATACTCTAACATTTAGTCTTAATTTGTACAAATTTTGAACTCGAAAATCGTCTTTTGAAACTGTTTGCTCATGGTGTATTGTATCAAAATAGGTGAATATTTTTGAAGTTTGTTTAAAATGACAGAGTTGAGTCTTTTTTTTTATGCAATCCGATAATGTTAATGCGTCTGAGCCACAGATAAGTTTTTATTACAGACAGCGTCGCAAAATTTTGTATTAATAAAATATATCCTGAAACCGTTTTCTTCTTGGCTAGTTTAAATTCTTTCTAATAAAAATTTCAAATTTGAATAGAAAACACTCTCTACAATCGTTTATAGCTGAAATTGAAAGTCATAAGGGCTACTGCTGTGTGCCGCCAGTGGTGCGACATGTGTAATCTTGAGAGGGAAGACATATGAATATGAATCTTTTTAGAATTTCTCTAATTACAATAGAGCCTACTTAATAAAATAAGTCTAATTTCCAAAGCAATTTCCCATTTGCCAAGATTCCATCATAAATATAACTTTTTTTTCTTCTTCTATCTTCTTATTTTACATAGCAAAAATTAATCTATGAATATTCTCTTACAATATGACAAAAAACAACCTGTTCCTTTAAACAAATAACTATATGTGATTATATACATTTGGTGCATCGATCAGAAGTCGCATCAACCTATTTATTGAAATCAGGAACACAAACAGGACAATCGTCGAGGAAAAAAAAAGCAGAATATTATAAAACCTATTTTATTATTTCTCTGAAAGATAAATTTTACATCTAAGTGGATAGATTAGTGATAATTTTATAACACTTTGCTCTCCTAACAGTTATCCTTTTATGTCAGTTCTTACAAAATTTATTAACAAGAAAAATAACATTTAATATATGTTATTTTTTCTGTGGCTATTAGTCTGATCATTTTGCTTTTCGGCGACGACTCACAAGGAAAAAAAGTGAAACTTGAGTAGTCCAAATTAGAAGTGAAATATGATACTTTACTGCACTGCAAAGGACTGAAATCTCACGTTTTCCTTTTTGAATATATGAAAATTTTGAAACTTGTACTCGATAGTTTACTGAAGTTATGCTAAATTTTAAAAATAAAATAGGACATCATTTATTGAACAATGCAGATAAATTTATACAGAAGTTCATTACGATTTTAAAAATTTCATTCAAAACGATGAAAAAGTTTGATATCAACGAAAAGCACCCTTCTTTATAGATTCTTTGAAACTTTAATGAATTGAAAATAATGAACACTACTTAAAACTGACTATAAAACAAATATAATATGAACAGTATATCTTTCTTTGTTCTTAGAAAATGTTCCACAACTATTTTAATAAAAAAAAACCTTAAAAATAGAACTAATATAATACGGAACGTTTCATAACGGTGTAGACATAGTCCTATGGCGACAAATTGAAAAATATCAGGAAATTAGTATCGCTGTGAGGTCTGTCCATCGATTTATTTTTAAGCATTTAAAATTCATATTTTAACATACACAATAAACTTATCGGGTATATCTTAATATTGTACCATAACCTTTAAGTTTGACAGTATAATACAAGACTTTTCATAGAGAAAATTAAATATTTTGAAACTATGATTTTATTGAAAAATATTGTTGAATACAACGATGAAAAGCCCAAAACTTTCTATTGATAATTAGTTGGAAACAATATAATGATTCGACTAATTTCAGATACTAACGAGGGAAGCTCTCCAACTGATAAATCAATTTGAGTTGAGACTATGTTCATTATATAGATCATAATGACCTATGAATACTCTGAAAAGGTTTCGTGACTTTAGCTTCCTACTGCAAAAATAATATACTTTTATGATAATTTCTAAATGCACGCTGTGGTCGCCCTCAGAAACATCGGAGTAACTAATTTCCGAATTTTGACTAAAAATTTTGCTTAGAGACAAGTCTTAATAAGTACAGTTTATTATAAATGATTCAGACTTTGTTGGTGCTTTTATTCTAAGATACAACTATGGTAATAGCATTTCTTTTACATCACTCATATCAACTGGTATATTTGAAATTCTATTTTCAAAATAGAANAAATTTAGTAAAACCAATTTTTCTCGACCAAGGAAAGAAAAGGAAAAAAGAGGATACGTAACTTTGTAACCGATGGTATGATGAATCGAATGAGATAAAATACTTGCCGTTCTCATGTAAACAAAAAACCTGGATAGGTTTACAAAATCGACCCACACTTAGGGTACTCGACGTGATTTGAAGCGTCACCACTAATACAGTTTTGGGGCCAGAGTCGATTTAAGAAGTTTTTTATATTCAGTTTTCGATGCTGAATCTGAAAAAATTATTCTTAGAACCTTAAAACAAGAAGGAAGTGGAAAATTTTCCACATTTCCAAAAAGATGTACTTTTTTGAAAAAGTTGGTATCCTTTGAGTATTTCGTATTTTTCGACTGGAAGGAAGTATTTGCTGAGGCTAAAAAGTAGATATTCGTGATCAGCAGCTCAAGCTCTATCAAATGATGTAAAAACAACGCGAGAAAAATTTTACTTGAAGTTTGAACTGCTTGCATCTTACATTGTAGTAGAAAATACAATTTTTTTTTCTGAACTATACCTGTTAATCATGATTAATATATCAAGCGATGCTGTTAAAGCTTGTCAAACCATATTTTAATACTCTCAATGGAATTTCCTAATCTAATTTTTTTCCATTTTTTTGTATTTACTGGCAAGCATACTCTACACATTTCTCAGACCGTTAGAACACATCGAATCCAGAATTTTTCGTACTTGGACTCGACCGAGCTCTAGCTGTAATGAAATCTATACTTTCTCGCTATATGTCAATTACCGAAAACAAAAATCAAACTGCAATGGTCGGAAGCAAAAAAAAAGGAAAGTGAAAAAATTCAATTGAGACACATTGTATATAATCTATGCTATTGTAAGATATTTGTTCGTTTCAGTATAATGAGTAGTACGCATCTTGTTGAATTCAAAAATAGTCGTAATATCACTCTACGTGGTATTCTTATTGAATCAACTAATACAATATCAAAAACTGCTGTAGTTTGTGTAGCTGGTTTTGAAGGTTTATCATCAACAGCACCTAAATTTATTAATTTAACTGAAGAATTATTTTTATTACCATCAAGTCCAGTTGCTAGTGTTTTTCGTTATGATCCAACAGGTATTGGTCTATCTGATGGTATATATTATAAAATGACAATTGATACACTTGTCGATGATTTATCTCATGCTATGAATTATTTAAAAACATTTTATAAAAGTTTTATTTTTATTGGTCATAGTCTTGGTAGTTGTGTTATTGCTAAATTTTTAAATTCTAATCAAAATTGCTTTATAATTGAAAAAATTATATTACTTGCACCAGCATTAAATCAATATGATCTTCATCGTTATTGGTATATGCAACAAATATATGGATTTATAACGTGGGAAAATTTTAAGAAAGATTTTCACGAATTAGATTTTCAAGAATATTTAAATAATAAACCAATTGATGCTTGTAAATCTCATCGAGCACATAAAATTTTATTTGAATTTATTCGTTTGTGTTCACAAGAAGATTTTTCATTTAAATTAAATGATTATCAGAATCAAATACTTCATATACATGGTACTCAAGATGCAATTGTTCCTATTGAAAGTATTAAAGATCAATTTAAAAATACATTAATTTTAAATACAAATGATCATGATTTAGAAGAACCAAATATTTTACAAGAATGGACTATGAAAGCTGTGAAATTTATTTGTAATAATAAATAATTATTAAAATTTTCATCATTGAACTATTTTTGATTTTACAAATTTGGAAACTATTGAATAAACTTCTTATTTTTAGCAATAGAAAAGCGATAAAAAATCAATTTATTTAATATATCTATTGATCAACTAGTTTTTAGTGAGAAAAATTTTTCACTGTAGATGAACGAAGACATGTTTACAGTGAAACACCTATAACTGTTAGAGTTTTTATTGATAACAACGTTTGTTTTAGTCTATCACGTTTCCTAAACGCTAGTAACGGGTACTCCATAATAAATGGCCAGTTTTTGTATTTCATATTTTCATCTCTAACTATGTTTTATTAAAAAACAGAATATATCACAACATGTAGCGTCGAAAGCTCTACAACCAACGTAGTGAAGCTTATTTTAATGATGAAACTTATGAAAAGAATATTGTTCTATTAGAATTAACAAATGATATTAATTTCAATGATTCAAATATTAGATTTATTTATTTTCACCCAAAATAATATGCCAATAGATCCATGTAAATCAATGAATGGTACTGTAATAGGTTGGGGATATTTACAGCAGCATGGTTTATTATCTAATTATCTTCAACAAGTACAATAAGCTATTTCATCATATAGAAATGAATATTGTTGTAATGTTGTATATGATGATATTATTCAATTTTGTGTAGATTTTATCCAAGTTGCTAAAAATACATGTCCATGTGATAAGTAGATAAATACTCATATAAACAAGGAAGATTCTGAATATCAAGTATCAATAAAATCAATATTTTATGTCATTTTATTATTTTTATTTTGTATAAATTTGTCTTACTTAGTTGAAAATAAGTGTTTGTTTTTTGTATTTATTTTAAAAGCAGAAGTTTTTTTATTTTATTTGTAACTAGAGAAATAAGAAAATATGTCAACGTGTTGAATAAAGTTTATTTTCCATTATATAATTGTTCTTTCTTTTTTAAAATTGGTTCTGATGATTGCGAGATCCACTTAGATTAAACATATAAATGCATGTATAGTAGACGACGAATGGTATTTATTTGCTTTAATCGTAGTTACTATCTCCACGAACTCTTCCACTATTGCCATCTTGCGGACCTCTTCAATTGTTTCCACCTTGTTTACCGTCTCCACGGTGGTCATCATTTTGATCTCTATGATCACCATTGTGATTTATCCAACAATCATGTTCTTCATTATGATAATTATTTGCTTGTCTAGAGTTTCACCATGTATCTTTAGGACTATTGCAGTGAGGAGATGCCGAAAACACAATGACTGTCAAGAGAAACTAAAAGTAAAATAAGATAATACAAGAACAGTAAGAAAATAAGCAGTATACCAACCAACGACAAAACGATTACTATTGATCGCATATTCGTATATATAATCAAATGATGTTTGCCTGTCGAATCTGTGTATTTATATACGTTATTTGTCAGTGATTTCGCGTCTATTCATTTTTGTGACGTTTCACTACCTGAATCTGACAGATTGTTTTAATGGTATTTTTGTTATTTCGATCGTAATGGGTCATCAATCGTTTGTTTTAGACAAATCAAAAAGAGACACCGTGAGTTATTGCCTCGAAAATCAAGCATTCATAGATGAAGGATAAGAAAGCATATGACGTCAAATCGATCCACTTGTATTTCTTTTGGGTCAACTTCATTAAATTATATATCAACAAAAACAGTATGTTGAGACTAACATATCGATTCTAGTTGCATGAGATTTTGATCGAATTTTTAGCCTTAAAAGTTATCAACAAAGTAAGACATTTGTGGTCATTATGCTGATAATTTATCCTATCACAGTGGATTCCATCTGAGAATAAATAGACAAGACAAAATGCTACCGAAAAATTATAAATTTTCCAGTTCTTTGATGAGTCTTCAATCCCATATGTAATATCACAGTTGACATGAAAATTCAGTTAAGTTTAGAATGCGCGAAATAACTTTTAAAAAAATTCTCTCAGAAAAAAAAAGATTTAATAATAGGAATAAAACTTCATAAACAATGGCAAATAATTCATTGAGGCAACAGTTTACAAAACAGACTCACATTAAACACAGCAACAAAAGCAATGCTTTTTTTAAAATTTTACCTATTTTACTAACAAAAAAACCAACGATTTTTGTTGTGTGTATTTTAGTATTGTGAATGCTCTATTATTTTGATTGTATAAGTCATAGAGTAATTGATGTTTATTGTTGTATTCAAGTTTGGGTATTATTAGGATATAAAATGTTTACGTATGTCAGTTTTTAAATTTAAGTGACCCAATGACATACACTAAATACTAAATTTTTCTATAAGAACCATTATGTGTCATATACCATCAATTGCACTATTTAGAGAGAAAAAATTAACTTTCAATTTCATTATCATTTATTATGCTCATATATCGTAATAATAAGACATAGACATAATGTAAATCACATTTACTTTTAAAAATCTCCCTCTCTCTCTCTGCTCCTGTTTGTCATACGTTCGACTCAATTGTTTAAAAAAATATAAAAATATCTATATGGCACTCCAGCTTTTTATATTTATTTATTTGAGAATCCTGAATGGGGATCTTTTTTCATCAATGACTCTAGAAAATTCTATTTATTAATTTTTGAAAATTCATGAATCATTCAAAGTCTCTATTATCAGAGAAAAATGAAACATACAAAATTTATATTCTTTGTAGAAAACCAAAAAGAAGAATCCTTACTAACTATATAAACAGTATTTGTTAGTAAGAAATTTCAAAAATACTAGTTCAATCTCAACAATATTCCAAACTTGCCTGGAAACATTTGTGAATGGCCAAATTTTTTTGACTTTGGAAAGTGTACGATTTTGTAGCTCTTCAAAATGGTTATCAAATGAGCAATACGAGAATTTTGGTCACTTCAATTTTTGAATTAAAATATTTACTGAACGATAGTGGTGGATGATAAATAGAGAACTTATGCTAATAGTGTCCGCCTAAAGCTCTTTAAATCGAACAAATCAATTGATGATTTATATATCGGATTGAAGCATCATTAAAGAGCTATAAAATTCATAATTTCAGCAGTACTTTTTTTCATGTCAATTCATTCTTCAATTGAATCTATCGTGATAGGATGGATTATAACAATAATGACTAAAAATACCTTACTTTATTGATAGCTTTTAGATTTCAAAATGCGATCGAAATCTCATGAAACGTGTATCAATATCTTGATGTCAACATACTCTTTCCTTTGATTTATGATTCAATGGGGTTAGCCAAGAAAAATAGTAGTGTATCGATTTGACAACATACGCGCCTCCGTTCTTTATCTATGAATGTTTTATTTTGACAGCAATTGCTCGACGTGCGACTTTGTTCGTATAAAAAAACGATTCATGGCTCGTTACGGTTCAAATATCGACAATAAAATTAGAAGACATGTCACAGTACAATAGCAAAACATCACAAAATTGAGTCAAAAGAAAATCAGTAATAAAAACTGTTTATAAATACGTCGATTGGACTGTCAAATATCGTCCGATTAAATGTAGTAATATGCGATCAACATTCCTTGCTTTATCGTCGGTTGGTATGCTGTTTGTTTTCTTACTTTTCTTTTCTTAGTTGATTTTGTTTTTAGTTTGTTTTGATTGTTGTTGTTCTTTTTAACTCTTACTCGGTTCAATGATTCTCAAGGTTGACAGCAAGACTCTAAACTATCAAACAAAAATGATAATGAAGGATCTGATGATTCGATAAATCCCACTGTTGGTCGCACATATTAAGAAGAG